GTCCATTGACATGAAGGTCAAGGTTACCAAATAATTAAGCAACACATTCCTACCAGTTTGATGAAGTAGTACATCAAGTTCATAAATATATCTTGTACGGTTGAAAATTGACAACGTAGAAATAATATGTGAAAAGAAGAACCAGTAATAATAGGATGTCTCATTTTATTTGAAGGAAATACATAATGAGAACAAATTCAATGAATATTCTGTTTATTAACGACAATACTTTCTCCCACAAGCACTATTGTTTTCTTCACTCCCGACTCATTGGATAAACCTGTTAGGAGTTGGTAAATATTTTGGGTTAACCACTTCGGGTAACACTCTGGACGTTATTTCATTGGTCAATCTTCTAAGTATAAGATCAAGTTAAAATGCTTTGCGACGTCAGAGTTCATGAATAGGTAAATTATGTCCTCGAAACAGGAAAATGAATTCCAAAAAGAAACATATGATTTTTGTTGTATATAATATCTGAATGTTGAGGGAGAAAAAAGGTCCTCAAACTCGTGATGACTGGTAATCATGTTTTTCTTACTCTTCTCATTCTAATTTTCTTATTGTAAAAGACCATCGGTAAACATCGTGTCTGTATACAATTTGAAGGTATTAGTGACGTACTTTTATTATCTCACGTAAAGGTGAAATTTATGACTAAGTCCTGTATTGGTAAAACTTTCCCATGATCAGGTACGGATTCTTTGGTCAAATCAACTTTCCTTTTGTTGCTTAAAATCAAGTGATAGGGTAAAAAAGTCATTTCTAGACAATGGATACGGTATTAGGCTTTATATGTATCAATCATTCTTTCAGGTCATTGACAAAATGTGGTTTTTAATTTATATTACCAACGGAACAAGAAAGTGTGTTTGACAAGAAATCTTTGTTTGACCATCAGAACGGTTTTGCTGCAGCTAGATAAACATGAAAACCAACTATCACTTGAATGGAAATCTCTATATATGCAACTGCCAACATAAGTCAAATAGTGTAGATCAGACACTTGTTCGCGAGTGCTGATCGTTTTCTGTCATCAAATCGACATGATCATAGTCAGTATTCACATCTGTTGCAGCATCTCCTTTCGTGTTAAATGTGTCATATTCGTTATTGACCAGTTTGTCCATTTGATCATAATCCGACATGGTAACGTCATCATTCCTTTCAAATACGTCATATGCGTCAACGTTCACGGTCCTTTGTACATGATCGTAATTAGAATTTGAAATGTCACTTTGCTCTGCTGCGCCCTTTTTCACATTACCAAATGAATCGTAATGGTCATCGTTTTTACTGTTTCTTAAACGATTTTGTGCAATGTTAATTGGTACTTCCGCATTTGCTATCTCGATCTCGCTATAAGCACTTTCAGCGATTTGATCTTCAATACAAACTTCACTGTAACCGTTCTCATTAGGTGTTGCTTCACCTCTGTGCTCGTGCATTGCCGACTGCGAAATGTATACATTTCGCGGAGCCGGAATATAATCAGTTGATCCACTGACCTCGCTCATCATTGAAGGCGATCTAGCAGTTCGTCTGTTCTTGAAAAATATTCCCAATGAAATCATAACAAGTATTATCACAATCACAACAACAGTTATAACGATAACGCCACTTTCACCTAAGCCGTCTTCCTGATCCGTTGGTATAGTATCAATTGTGGTACATTTATTGTTGGCTGTAAACACACAGCCGTCTGTTGGTCGAGTCGTGTTGATATGACTTTCTGTAGTTGTTGTAGTCCTGGGCACCAGCGAGGAATCATCCTTAGTCACACAGAGTTTCTGAAGAGAAGACGAATTGCATAGCTTTATTTTGAATCGTATTGCTCCTTCGCTAGTTTTGAGTACTGTACCGCAGAAGTTTTCAGTTTTATTTGGACGTTCTCTCACAAGAATCTGTTTTCTAAATGTTCCTACCCAGTAATATGTCCCTGGAAGCAAGGTAATTTCGCTTTTTAAATATGTGGCGTTTGCAAACTGTTTTAACTCCTTTTGTACACTCAGGGCTGCAGTCCACCATTTAGTTTTAGGATAATTTTTAGAAAAATCTGTTGGCACACCGAAATAATTTAAATCAGTATCACATTGTTGAGATAATTGGTGAATACTCTGTTTTCTGCTATGATACAGTTGCAGGCAGTTATAAAATCCGCTATATTCCATAGGGATAGGTTGGTATTGGCAGAAACAACCTGAGGTTTTGTCACCGAAGTACTCACCGCACAATCCGGAAAAATTTGAAAAACAATGTTTGGCTGGACAAAATGATGTCGTGTTGCCATATCCATTACAAAAACAACAACCATTATAGGTGGAGAATGTTGCCTGGTTGCAATGTTCATAGCATTCCACGATAGGGTCTGCTTCCCCACTCAATTGATGGACGCATGATCCGTTATGGGAACGGAGGGTACAGCCTTCAAAGTTCATCCACCGTGTGTGTGTTACATACACGCCAATCTGTACTGGAGTATTAAACGCGTGTGAAAAGGCAGAACCAGTGATGATCACTTTGTCATTTTGTTGGAGATTTTTGAAATCTTTTGGTATCCATAGTTCACAGTTTTTTTCTGAAGATCCGATAACTACTTTTTCGGCCACAGTTTTACAGAAACGTGATAATATACCCATCAAGACAAGATGGCCCCAGTGCTTTTGCATATTTGTACACAGTTACAAATATGTACTGACGCTGGTTTCAGATTGATCAGACGCGATGTATTTTACAAATGACTAACATATCATGGATACAATTAGTTTTAACCACGCTTATTGTAAGCAACAACTGTTTATCTATGGTAAAGTACATCACATTGCTTCCTCCTACACCATTGTTATATGATTACAGTCACAATGTGGTACTTCATGTATCGTGTATTTGTGACTGACGGGTCTTCCACTTAAAGATGTCGATGAGCTGAAGTACGCTGACTATATATGTTCTTAGTAATGCGAATGACACATAAGCCTAAGCTTCCGGGGCGTGACTACTACGATAGCTTTTCACTCGTAGCACTTCAGATATTACTCATGCAATGAGTTAAATCCATATTTATTTTCGGAGCCAACGTTTAACGTTAATATTTTGTCACTGTCCATGTGTAGGCATCGCAAAATAGGTAAAGCTGTTGCAAAGGTGATTGTATATCGTATCCTCAGCTTTGTGACGACGTAACAAAAAAGGAACGAAATGTATTTTCTACCTTGCAATTTACTTAATCATTACAAGTAAGCAAGGTTAATATCGACGTTTACTTGTCCGGCTAAGCCGTTTTCAAGTAGTAATATTGTTAAATGGGTTCATAAAGTCTTTCAACTGACGCGGATGTTTACCTCTCACTACGTCATCGTACGAGGCGACTAGTGTGCAAAATCTACAATATCGGTGTTTTCTTCCGTTCCCTCATACGTTATTATTAAGTCCCCATTCTGTAGTATAATAACAAGTGTTTAACTGTAAATGGTTCGTTGCATGCTATGCATTGAGGCTTGTCTTCCTTCGCATTTCAATAAATGAGAATGGGTAATATATGAATGATCAATCCGGAGGCGGGCAAGGACAACCTTGTCTCGGAGTGTTATTTGTTTTCTCCGCAATAATTCCAATTATTTTGCCACTTTGACCTTACAAAATGTGTTGCCACTTTGACCATACAAAATGTGTTATCAAAGGTTTAAAATCTATAAAATGAAGTTTGAAATCAACAAGTGGTAGCAATAAAGCGGCTTTGGGAGGGAGATCTGCCTTTTCATTACCTGGTATTCCCACATTTTTCGGAACCCAACATAATGTAATTTGACAGGGTTAAGTAATACTATATTATTATACTTATAATTTACAACTTGAAATATTCTTTAAAATTTTGTTGCGAAGACTCTTTAGAAAAGTGAGTGAATCAGAGTTGATAAGTGACTTCGGTATATCATTTGATTTTGCGTGTTCAAGGGCGAGATAGATAGCATGTGCTTCGCAGAGAATATCGATCCATTTTATCGTTTGGCAGCCAGCATCGAATAGTTGTATCCTTAACAAACATGGCTGCAGTGACCTTACAATTTTTATCATCTGTAAACTACATTAAACCACCTACCGATAGCATGATAAAATCATTATAATTGGTTGTCATTGTGGGAATACTATAAAAGAACTTGATAACAACATGAGAATGGATTTTCTCACTTGGGAATGTTTTTTTTCTCAAAAGAAAACGCCTGCTTGCGCCAGGTTACGCCCTGAATAGGATATAATGACCACAAAAAAGGGTTCCGCGTAAGAAAATATTACGTCTTAAAACAAATATCATTATAAAGTAATATATACAAATTATGAGGATAACAACACCATCTTAAGCGTTAATGTGCATATGGAGAACCCTGCGACGATGATATTTTTTTGTTAACTACATAGTTTTAGGTGTATGGCATTCCTCCGCTCAAATCATCTATTTGTTTATGTTTGTCACAGACTGATGATCTCGATGATCATTTAGCCAAGAACTCAGGTGCACATTTGTTACTGTATGCCGGGAAACGTTCGCCCAGTCAAATGTCTGCCTTTCACTGGTAGATTCCGTTTTCACGCAGTGTTACTTTTGCCCTTCACATGTTATTGCTAAGTGAAGTAAGTTGTTCATTTTCTTTCACTGTCGTGATAAATTCACCATCATTACGACGGCCAAAAAAGACGAAAATGAAACTGCGACGAAATTTCCCGGTTAACAGCAACAATATAAACATGTTGTTAATGTGCGATTATTTACGAATAAGATATTGTTATTTTGGAGTATTGTGTTTTTTAGTTGTTTTTAACGTAGGTAGATTGAAAAAAAAATACATTTCTTAATTGTTGCAAGGTTGGCAACAAAGAAAGAAAGAAAGAAAGCACCAGAATCTACAGATCCATATGTTGTGATATATCAATGCATAGATGCTTCTTTCATCTTCATCTAAAGACAAAAGAAATCTTTCGAAAAATCACAAAATATGTATTTATTATTGAATCCATGATGCAGGTATCCATGTCACATCCGTTTCAACAGAATGTGCAACTTTCAAAAGTTCGTTTGTCGCTAGATGCAGATTTTGATTAACTATCGTACAATCAAAAAGGTAGCCATATCGATCCTCCATTTTATCACTCGCCTCAATAAGGTTTTCAAAGTCTTCATTCTGAAACAGAAGACAAGGCGTATTACTAATAGAGTCTATGATATGTGGGGTATGGATATTCTACCTGAGAGTAGAATTCGGGTCAGAAACGAAGCTGTGCCTAAGTTCTGACACCTTATTCTGCACGAGGGTTGAATGTCCATGTCCCACACAAGGGATAACTCATTTCTCCCGTTTTTAATAATAATAATAATTCGAGGTTCTTATATACCGCTTTATCACAACCTAGTAGGTTGCCTCAAAGCGGTTCACAAATTATTAAATTATTTAAACAACATTTTGGTTAAACACGACGTTTGTTTGTTTGTTTGATTTTGTTTAACGTCCTATTAACAGCTAAGGTCATTAACACGACGTAGGCAATGCAAACGCAACACTAAATATAGAACGATTTGTAGACAGCGTTTATACAACGTAAGGCCATACTTGGAAAGAGCAGAAAAAATGGTTTGGTTTGGTTTAATTTCGTTAAACGTCCTATCAACAGCTAAGGTCATTTAAGGACGTGCCTCTATGTGTGTTGTGTATGCGTGTATGTGTGCTGGAAGCAGATGGTAGAAATCATCAAGTACTGCGTACAATATTTAGAAATACTGAAGATTCTATGGCGTTTTTCCTTTACGACTCAAGAACGTATATCATATATAAGATATATCAAGCGTCAGACAAACGGTACTTTCACTAATAACTTTTTCAAAGTCGAACATTTGTCCTTGTTTATAACGTTTTTGACTCTGATGTATGAATATTCGTTTACGTAATTATTACCAAACCAGAGGATACTTTATTATTTTTATTATTTTTTGTCACATAACCAAATTGAATGAGTCAAACATGTGTGTCCTTGTATTCAAAATGTTACCCAAAACATGTTTTAACAAACATACGTACATCAATGTAGACACCAGAGAAATGAAGTTGAAAAATAAATAACTTTAAAAAGGAGCTACCATTTTTGCGGTTATAAGTCTGAAAAAGCTGTGTTCAATGGCATTGCTTCTAACATGTAAACAAACAAACGACCGTTAAACATTGCGAGATAATCGATCTATTTCATTAATCAACCCCATCCTCCACATACAACGCATGTCGATTATTCAACGGGAGATAACTCATAAGAATCAAAAGTCTGCACGTTTCGATATATTCGTGTGTATAACGCCGCCTACAAATGTAGTTGTGTGAGCTAGTACGTGCTACTGGTGTTATTTTCTTGTGACAGCTAGATTTCAAAAACTCGTTGCAATAACTATGTTTAGAATTAGTTACATTTAGTGTCTTGTTTTAGCAGGGAAAGTGATTGTAAGGTAGCAACACACAATTCATTAGCAATCCTACTATTAAATTTTAAAAATGTCATGGAAATGCAAATGAACGTTAGCCACTGTACTAAATTTGTGTTTAATCTTTCAAAACACTTAAGTTTGAATGATAGTACTAAATTGCACTTCAGCATTAAGAAGAAAACGATGTTTGAAAAAGGCTCTTTCAATGCATTTCGAGAAAAATGGTCTTAACATCAAAACTTAAGATATAAACGAAAACAATTGATTACATCGTTTTCCTACCTGGATAGCAATGCCAAAATTAGACTTATAATTATTTATTTATTATACCACATCACGCAAATTAACCGGATATCAACGCCAAAGTATTACATTTAACATATGAATAATAGCAATATTAATAACGATGAATACTTCTGCGCCATATTTCTCCGTGTTGAGACAAAACATTACTTTATGTCCAATTATTTACTGACCATTTCCGTACAAGGGGTTAAAAAGGCTTAAAACTAAATATCGAAGGCATTACTTGCGGGTGTAAACAAAACTACCGACTGCTACAAAATGTCAATGCCTGCTATAAACAATGAACCTTCCGTCACTTTGTTACGTCATTATGATATGAATCAGATGTGTAATATTTCCTATAAAGTTATAAATCCTATAAGCCCTATTGTATGACATTATAACTTACACTACACAAGCGGGTATCTCCATCCTCCAAGGTGATGCTTGCAGCTTGTTTATGTCGGGTCTCCTTCAGCTTCTCTAGGACGGGTGGTTTGATAAATATTATATAAGGCTTAATTTCGGCAGTTCGCAGTGATTTTATTGCCTGCAAATAAACACAACGATATTCAACTTTTTACTTAATTTGGCAAGGAGAAAACTATATCATATATTACTTAGTTCCATTGAATTAAAGTTACTATTTACAGATACACGCAATTTCGCTGGTCCAATGTCATCAATATAACGTGTTGTTAACTTAGACAGATGATACGCCTATGCTATGCGCATACCATACACCATAGTCAACGTTGTTAGATGAGATAGACGTCCCGTGTCCCATATTTATACAACATCGCTGGCAACATCGCTGGCTTATCTATATATACTAGTATATAAACAGGATATCTTGCCAGTAAGGCAGTGTTTCCCCATATTCCTCGGGTGTTTTACTATTTCCCTTTCCGAGTAGTCGTCCCGCGACGTGGCCATGACAAAATCCCGCGGGACCTTCCCTGTGTGCCAATGCACCACCGTCGGGAAACTTGCCAAACAAGGGACATCAAGATACCACTGTTACCATCAAATATAACGTGGGGCCGTTGCTGAACTAGGAATTGTGTTCTTAGATTTGCCACATCGCTTGAAAAGCTAGCCTGCCAGTGAAGCATACTTATCTTTCTGTTCTACATCTTGCCCGGTATAACTGACTTGTTTTTGCGTCTACGCTTGGACCAATATTCAACAACTTAGTCAGTACAATTGACATCACTAACCTGTACGCTTGGGCAGAGAATACACATCTTGCCCTCCTGTATTGCTGACATAACTGTTTCTGTCCGAGTTCCATAGAGATTCCCCTTATATTCGCCATGTTCCACATACCTACTAGCAAAACAGAAACATCACTGCATGGGATATTTCCTGATGTTAGACATATTGAATGACGAAATTAAATTACATCAATTATAAAAGACAAAGATGTTTGCCGTATAAACAATGTCAACTCGTTTGCAATATATACAACGTAAACTCGTTTGCAATATATACAATGTCAACTCGTTTGCAATATATACAATGTCAATTCGTTTGCAATATATACAACGTAAACTCGTTTGCAATATATACAACGTAAACTCGTTTGCAATATAGACAATATCAACTCGTTTGCAGTATGTACAACGTAAACTCGTTTGCAATATATACAATGTAAACTCGTTTGCAGGAAGTATAGGATTAACTAGTTCGAAGTATGTACAAGGTAACTATTGTCAATATTAACGCTTTGTTAATGTGACCCCAGACATATATTTCTATACTTGGCCAACATAAACGTTGACTTCAAGACATACATTGAAACAATAAGTACTTAAATCATAAGGTGTTTGACTGTAAACCCTTGACCACAAGCATGACAGTAGTGTCGGACTTCCTATAGTTGTGTCGGACTTCCTATAGTTAAATGTGTCCGTTACTAAAATAGTGGAAAAAGAATATTAACACGCAGTCCGGTAATTATGGGTATAATTTAATTGGCTTTGTTATCACTGTGCATATGATAGTTCTGATCACTGATATACTCAAACGTTATAATAAGTAAGTCACTGAAACACATTTGTGTATATTTATAAATGTGTATATTTCAATGTTTTTTTTAACTTTCGTGATTGTGTAATTTTTGTTATAATTTGAATATACTTGTGCACAATTCAGTCCTCTATTTTATTTATTTGTGAACAATATAGTATCCCTTTAGAAAATACAAAACAAAATCACTAACTGTAGAATTTTATAAATAAAACGGCTGCGACTCTTACAATTTGAAAATATAGTATATATGATATCTTATATACTTATATAAGATATCTCATTTAATTTCTATACGAGATATCTCATATAGGATATAAGATATCTCATATAGTATATAAGATATCTTATATACGATATAAGAGATTTCTTATATCCTATATGAGATATCTCATATAGAAATTAAATGAGTTATATTATATAAGTATAAAAGATATCATATATACTGTATGAGATATCTTATATCGCATATTAGATATCTCATTTAATTTTCTATATAAGATATCTCATATAATATATAAGATATCTGATATAGCTATATAAGATATCTTATATAATTGAAATCTCGTTGCTATATAAGATATCTGATATAGAATGAGATTTCGTGGCATTAAAAACCAGAAACTAATTTCTCCCTCGAGAATCATTCGGAGCACATTCAGGATTGCATTGGGCGCAATGGCGGAGAGGGATGGTACGGATGCTGTATTTTCCCTAGGCCTAGCTCGCCTTGTCTCTCTTATAGCGGCCAAAGCAGAGGCTGCCATTTCCCGCACTCTTGAAGTGGGCTCAGACATAATGGCGGCGACAGGAACACGTGTTGTTACAACAAGCCTACTGTCCCTACGTAGATCCTCGAGATATTCCGGACGGGGAGACTTCATTTTCGACATTTTGTTAAAATCTCGTTCCTATATAAGATATCTTATTTAGTAACGAGACTTTAATTATATAAGATATCTTATATAGCTATATGAGATATCTTATATATTATATAAGATATCTCATACAGAAAATTAAATGAGATATCTTATATACGATATAAGATATCTTATATATCATATAAGATATCTTATATAGCATCTCATTTAATTTCTATATTAGATATCTCATATAGTATATAAGATATCTTATATGATATATAAGATATCTCATATACTGTATAAGATATATCATATACTTTATGAGATATCTTATATACGATATAAGATATCTTATATACGATATAAGATATCTTATATAGTATATAAGATATATCATATGCTATATAAGATATATCATATGCTATATAAGATATCTTTTATTTTTTTTTGAAATACAGGATCGACATTGCTCCTTGAAGTTAAGTTGGCTTGCCATATATATCATCACCAATGTCAATGGTGTCCAGTAATTCATTTTTTTTTATTTCATTTAAAGCACAGGTTGCGATGCGTTTTTGCAAAATCATAGTTAAATGCAAGAATGACGCTATAAAATTATTATTGTTACATTCTAAATACAGGAGAGATCATCTGGACCAATAAATAGGAAAAAAACATAATTATACAAAACTGCATGATTTTTTTCTTATATACATTGAATAACAATGGAGTTGTTTTTGTACATGTATTGATAAAGTAGTTGTCATTGTTATACCTTTGTGAAATGATTCCGCTTTCCATTTCCTGTCGTGATATAAAGTGGTACTCTTTTCCCTCCTCTTCAAACGGCCTCCGCGTTCTGCTCGTGTCTGTGGTAAAATCAAATTTCTATGAAGACAAACAAGTTCTCATATTTGCATGTTTATGTTATGAAGGAAGTTATGTATATAGACGTATTCACAATGTACCATGAAGAACGTTAGGAAATCAATTATTGACATTATTCAAGTTCCAAAACATCAATTAACTTACTCAGAATAGTATTATATCTTCATAACATAATATATGCGTTTTGTAACCGTAAACTGTTTGAATACAAGAGCTGAAATTGTAATTTAAACCTCCCAAGTTCCATCTATATGGAAGATAAGAGTGAAGCCAACGCAGATATCCACTCGCGTGAGAGACATGTAATAATAAAAATTATCTTTTAAACCTTTTAAGTAATTCTGCGCTCTAATGATTGGTAATTATGGTTTGTTTATGGTTTAACGTTGGTTCTCGAAGCAGCAAATGTCCTATGAAGATGGGTAGCGAAAAAGAAAGATTCGGGAGATAACGAAAGAAAAATGATATAAATCACAAGAGATGCAATGGGCAAACCACATCAATTCCGTGTTCCTCCAATTAGCAAACAACACATAAAAAAGCTCGATTCTGCAGGGGGATCCCACATAACTCACCTCTTATGACTTGCAGTTTGGAAGTGCATATCTATTCCATCCAATACTCGATATCCAGGGGTTACGCTCACTTCTCGCTCTACACCCCTGGAATATGCCATATCCTTTGATGTAAATCAAAATAATCTCGAGGTCTCGTAACGGTAAAACTTACTGGCTTTGAAGTCGGTCGTCGCTCCTCTGTTATCTCCAAAGAGCAAGCATCACCCTAGTGATTGGTCAGGATGTTTTACCTGACACCAATCAAATAGCTAACCGCGTGCCTTCACTTTTGCTATGACATATTCAAGGGGTGCAGAGAACGAAAGTAAGCTTAACCCCTGGATATCGAGGATGGTTCCATCCCCAACATGGAGAATATGATATATTCACTTCTTGTGTCGGAACACATACCAATGTACTTACAAGGGACAATGTCGGTGAAGTGAGATGGTTGAGATGCTATTAGTCGTCTTTTCAACTCATTTCTTCCAACATGGGTTGCACCTACCAGCAAAGTTTAAACAACAAATAAAATAAAATTCTCGGTTGTTTAATCTGTTCATTGTACTTTGTCGTAAGAAGGTGATATTTATCAATGAAAACGGTGAGAATTTTTGTTCCGATATAATTACATATTTTAAGGATCCCTGTCCCACTGCATTGTAGATTTTCGTAAATACAGTAACCCCCTCTTAACTTCCTTAAGGATCCCTGTCCCACTGGATTGTGGATTTTCATAGATACAGTTATCTGTCCTTAACTTCCTTACGGATCCCTGTCCCACTACACTGTAGATTTTTCGATACACAGTAATATCCCCTTAACTTCCTTAAGGATCCCTGTCCCACTGCATTGTAGCTTTTCGTAGATACAGTAGCCTCCCCTTAACTTCCGTTTGGATATAACTTTAGCACAGTTGGGCCTGGACACTTTCCTTGACTTGTTAGCTCAACAGTCTGAAACCCAGGGTTGGAATCCCACTTTAGCCATGCTAAAATATCACATTCAGAACAATTTTGCTGGTAATATTTTGTGCATATCATCCTGTTTCTTAAAAGTCCCGCAGAGTATGGTTTTCTTTTCGGATATGATTTATCAAAACTAAAGTCAAGCCGACAACAATTTCCAAAGCTTCGTTACAGTTTCTGACAGTGGTGCGAGGATCCTTAAGGCCAATTACAGAGGAGGTCATTAGGGCCAATAAATGATCCATAATACAGGTTAAAGGACATTGAGCATAATTACAAATGTAAAAGTTTTACAGTAAAAGCGGTTACTTAATGGAGTACACATCAATAAATTAGTTTTACCGACAACTCAACAGCTGAATTATACTATCAATTTGAAATACGCGAAATGGTATCATGTTAAATTGACAAATCGCGAATCTTCCACACTTCTGAACGCATTCACGTCTTTTGAACGGAAGGTCTTTATCCATTATGACGTATCCTATTCAGTAGCTCATTCTAAGACTGACATTTGCATTTAAATGCATTCGTCGAAATAATTGGAACCATTATCATTACACATTATCATTATCATTATCTCTTCGTAGGATATGAATGGATTGATGTCTTACCAACAAGGACAAGTGGGCGTGGCCGATTAGGATCAGGAGTGAACAATTCAACCTCCTCGTAAGTCGGTACTTCCCCGTGGTCAAACTCTAGAAATAAAGTAAAATAAAGGTCAACTGGTCTACAAAATAAACCGTACGCTGTTATTACCTTCATGAATACTGAAATTCAAATTAGAAGAGACAATGCATTGTAAAAGGATAACGTTCTCCATACACAGAATAATATACGATAACAGATAAAGCAAATATATCGTCCTAGATCTTGAAATGGCATATTGATACTTTCCTAGATCGCGTTAACAGTACTTATGGGTCATTGATAAATCCATACATTTTAATGTGTACGTAGTTACAACTCTTGTTATAGCTGCAAAATTATAATGAAAATAAAGAGAGACGTGTATTATCAGTGAAAGGCGATACAATCTTTTATCAACTTCATAACCAAATCAACTACCTGGGTTGAGCTGAGAGATTTATTACACAGGGGGTGATTATCCCGTAAACAAGACAAAGGCTTGGGGTTGAAATTTACCAATCCCAATCTATTGGGGAAATAAGCTTTTCCCACGAGTGACGGTTTGTTATAAAGTTTATCAAAATAAACGAACGAGAAGCAAAATAAACATGATAACAAACCACCACGAGTTTTGAGATTTATTTTTTCTATGCCGTTCACTTAAAATGAAAAAAAACCTAATTCTATCGTAAAAACGCTATTTTTGTCTTTGATAAGGGAAAATATTGCATTGAAATTTGACGTCATATTTCAAAATTTGACCAAAGATATAGGAATTTCTTTTCTCTTACCCTGTTTAGTCAGGGGGAATAATTACAATTTACTTCGTATTCACCAGGTGGTGCTACGTCACCTGGGCTTCAGAACTTTTTTGACGCGTTATTTCACTTTCATTCATATTAGTTTGTTTATGCATGTAGTATATGTTTATGTATAGCTTTACGTTGGTGCAGCTCTGGCAGAGAAAATAGGCATATACTCTTAAATAAAATGATTAAAACTTATTTAGGTTGTCATGTAGTTATTCCCTTATGACGTAAGTTTATACCTTATGACGTAAGTTTATATAAAGCACTATTGATGTGATGTCATGCTAATATTATGACTATGACATTACCTCGTTTTCAACCCAAGGTCGAGCCAATGATATCGCATACCGGGAGATTTGGGTGAATAAGCATCTCCAGGGCAAAAGTGAGTGATTTATATTAAAGACTATTAAAGTCGTCTTCAAGTTACTGTAACACTCGAAAGATATCTTGGAACATAGTATATATGCTTACACGTAAGAAAATTATATTTATTCTTGTCAGAATTACATGACTAACCATACTGTTTAGATTGTACAATTTAATCAATGTTCTGCAACTATAGTTAATCAGCTTAATTCTTTCTAAGAAACGTCAGAGACAGATGTAAAGATGTATTTGGATTTTATTGTGGCACAACAGACGTGTTAACATGAGAATTATATTAATCAATGCATTCAAGTGCATATAGTTCCAAAAAGCTGCAGCAACTTTAACTGTCGGAAACATCTTCATTATTTGACAGCTTTATTACGGATGAATAACCCTTCTTTGATCAACGGATCATACTGACTTTGGACATTTACCGAATATTGTATTACAAGTCCACTACCAGCAGACAAATACCTTGTACAATCTGTTAAACTTATTAAAGTAAGAATAAATGTGAAATTTACATGATAGTGTATTTCATACTTTGGTGTATTGAATAAGTATACACCTACCTCCATTAAGTATTGCTTGATACATCATTTTCCGAACCCGTTTTGAGCGAGGTATTTTGGGGCTTATTCTGCAGGGACTTATAGCACCTGAAATGAAATTTGTACAAAATTGATGTGAAAGATATATACGCGGGGAAAATCGTCGATTTTTTTTATATAATGTACACGGAATATTAATTATTCACTAAAAGCAAATACTACAAATAATTCGTCAACAAAAGCAAAACAAACGAATCGAAAGTTTGCCAATAGGGTTTGGTTAAAATTCACAAATTTCGTTTATGCTCTTAAAAGAACGACATAAAAACATTAACTGCGTACTGGATAATATGTTAGTGATTAATTGGTTATTGCTAAACAAATCCAACATTGTTCTGCCAATCATCTGTTTTGGCGTGTCCTTGAAGTTGATCAAACTCTTCACTTCTAAACGAAATTTGCAAACATGTACCGTTTTCCTCTGTGTGTTATGTAGGATAGTGTCAGAAATCAATAATTTTTCTCCTCTGTCGTAACATATGTACCTACGTGATCCTCTGGAGTTCTGCTCATCCTCTTCATTTGCCTTCCGCAACATTTCTCTCCTGCAAGAGATTGACAGTATTGACAATATAGACAGACGTGTCGTTGACCCCACTTTGAATGAAGACACTTTACATTGTTGAATGAGAGACGTGAACTGCCACGAAAACAGTCATATTGTGTCTGGGGGATAAAATAAACTATCAATTAATGTCGGATTATTTATCTACAAAATGTTTGAAGTTTTTTTTGTTTTGGGTTTACGTCCTCTCTAAACCTAAGGTCATATGGGGATTGGTAACTAGGCAGTCACCCACAAAACGAAGAGTAAGAGAGATAACAAAAAAAGAGAAATACAGTGTTACATGCTCATAGAAATAATCACAGCATATGCCTTTGAAAATTTTCCGAGTTTGATATGTTGAAAGAAGCAAAAACGTATACATGACTAACACGGGGAAAAGCATTCCATTATTACACAACCACTAAATTGAAACACAAAATCTTCAATAAAAGACATATTAAAAAACAGAAGAGATATCACAAACCTTAAAATTTATCATCACGATCACCGTCAACCTGAAAGGTGAGCGGGTCGTGTACCTCATATTGACCCATCTTAAACGGCAGCAAGATATGCGCGACGATCAAAAGCTATATTGATAAATAACAATACAATCTGTGCATCTTATAGACCCTAAAACCAACTTTACATCATATCTGGGTCCAAGGTAGTGCATCCATTAAGATCCGTTTTCAAACCACCCCTTCAAGCCAAGCATTTTTCTCAATTACGAACACACAATTACCCAAATTTAAAGACAGCCGTAGTCATATCACAGTGATATCAGGCTAAAATAATATTGTGTCCAGTTGTTATATAATAATTCAGTTTCAAGAGTACCTTTCCTGTAAGATCGATGATGGTATGAGACCGGTTCTTGCATTTTTCTCTCCTTCCTTCTGGGCCTGCCACCAGAGGGCGTCGCTTTGGGATATAATGTGGAGAATGTCCCCTCTATCAAAAGACAGACCAGCTTCAGCACACGGATTAACGGTGTCCTCCTCGGCGTTGTATGAGAAAAGAGCTTTTACTCTGGTCTGTCATACAAAACAACAAATATTCATTACGACAAACAAAGTAGACTGATGTGATTTGTATTGCCTCTTAGCACCGACACTAAGCCTTAAGTTGATCGATTAACTCGATTGAAGTCAGCTTATAGTTGCTTTCATTACATTCTACAATATACCGTATATTGGTTTTTTTTTGCAGGCTTACATTTTCGCGATTTTGACTCACAGTTAGAAAATTAAATTTCACGAACTATAATTTCGTGATATAGACATTTCAAGGAACTTAAGTTTTATAGAGACGGGACACTCGGAAAATAAAGTGTCAAATATTCAAATGAACAGGCTTTAAACAAGCAAATCATCAACTAAATTATTAGACATGTGATATAACCTATTTTCATAGATCAATTATCTTTATGTGTATGAATCGTTATAATCACGTGCGCGCTATTTCATGGCGACATTAGGGTGTGAAGTCGATTATCGCGGCTAAGTTTTTACGCATTATGCAGATCATAATTTCGCAATTACGTTATTGACCCGCGAAATCGCTAAAATGTCCTCCCCGCGGAAATGTCCTCCTGCATACGGTACTCTGTATACTAACCAACCCAAAAGTATCGATGTTTGCAACGTTTTGTTTGTTAGTTGCATCACGGCCCATCAATGATGAAGTCATATCGGGTCTGACAACAATAATAAGGAACATTTACAAAACTGAATACACGAATAGGGAACTGAATGGTAAAAGATTAAAATCTGTATACATCAGAACATAGCGAAATGTTCAGACATTATCATAAGTATTTACTAAATTCAAATTCTATTGTATAAGCCAATCTCAAGTAGATGTTAAAAACTTACCTAACACATTAATTGTAATTGAAATAATGTTTTCATGTCAGGCACATACTACTATTTGTCCAAAATCAGTCTAAAGTCGGCACATTCGATCAATAAGTGAGACACAGTTATACATTCGTCACTTGAATGGCAAAGGAGTTGTAACTTGAAATTAAACTTGGGCCATGACATTTCTGTGCGTGGATACTGGGTCAATTTACGTCAACGAAGGTGGATATTACTTTCAAGATATTCATGTAAACTCACGTGCGAAGTAAGTTCTAACTGATTTCCGTAATTAAATGTTACCTTTTAGTCAATAAAATTGATCATAGTGATAAGCGAAAGTCTAGTGTTGAAAGTGCTGTTAGAGGATATCACATGTGATGTTCATTAGAGTGGATATCACATGTGATGTTCATTAGAAGTAAAGAGCTTAACACAGGAAAGTTAAGCTGATGTCAGGTTTACAAAAAGGATATTCAAAAGTTGTTGTATCAAATACAAGAGTGTTGTACTGATAATAAGGAGTATGTCGCTTTCTTAAATTGCACATCGCTGTTATGTTCACGAAGTACTGGTTATATCGATCTAAGGGCAGATAACTCTCAATCAAGATATAGTGAACTGGTTGTTCTCTTTTGTGATTAAGTTGGATAGAATAACAATGGACAGATGGAGCGGCATAACTGAGTATTTACCTCATGCAAGCGAGTACCCGAAACAGCTTTCCACGAAGAGCACTTTAAGAACTCTAGCACAAAACAAGGCAGTTCTAACCAATTATAGTTTCGCCTTATATTTATATACTTACTTTGCTAGCCCTGAATTTTGCTGCATTATTTTCTGCTGGTCCCAGCTTCATTGTAACAGGGCCCGAAATTTTTGACTGCAAACACATTTTTTTTTTATAACATTCACGCATATGCTTGGGTTGTTTTAACTACAACCATGTACTTTCCATTGCTATTTTTGAAATGTTAAGTCTGTTTATAATGGTGCCTTATGGTAAAGCAAGAGTTTTTTGAAGACAGTTATTCTTTGTTTGTAGACTCGTGTTTTTTAAGTATCGAAATATGATGTATTCCATTAGGAATGTTTTTATTTGCGATTAGAATATACAAAGCGATGGTTTCTTCAATCTCAAAAGATATCAAATATACTATTCAAACCGTTTTAATAAACATCTTATCACCTTTGAATATACGGAAAATGTGTTACAAGAAATTAATAAAGTATTATCAAATATTACTACGTCATTCTCTTTTAAACAGAATAGCAGTGTTGTAAAAACGACTATTTTAAAAGTTTGAAATATCCATTTTACCAGGGTTTGGGCCATTTCATCAGGATGCTTTCCCCGGAAATGAACGCCGTTGATTTCGAAAATTTCGTCCCCAACGTGAATAAGACCTGTAACAAAACAAAACAAACATTTAACTCAACAATAGGACAAAATACAAATATACTAAATTTGGGACCTTATCTCTTCTCTCCTTTCTAAATAATTTTCTTCTTCCTAATGTCTCCCTTGACAATGCCTCACTTTTGGCCATTTGTTGAGCGTTCGCCCCTGTGAGGAAGGCTTTGGGTTCTGTCCCCTGGCCGAGACATACCAAAGTCTTTAAAAATGGTAGTTTCTACTCCTGCTTAACGCTCAGCAAATTAGGAGTGGGACGACTGGTTCGCCCGTTGTCAGTATAATGTGACCAGGTGGGGCGTCCTGCTGGGTGTCTTCGGCAGTATGTTTCAGTGAGGTAGCACTACAAAGTCGGCATCAGTTCCGCGCTATCACAAGGAGACAAACACGAACATATCGCAGCCTCCCGAAAAACACACACATACACTACACGCATGCATCTTGCACACAGGGGAGGCCGTCCGTTAATGACCTTAGCTGTTAATAGGACGTTAAACAAAATCAAACAAACAAACAAATATGTTTATTTACGAACTGTTTAAGCAGGACAGAATTCTGCAGATTCGACACAAAATCATAGCTCAAGTAAAAGTAGCAAAGACAGGAACCCTTCCCGGCGCAGGAACTCGCTACGAGCTGCAAGAAGCCATAAATGTAAGGCCACCTTCAGGTTGGTTGTTTTATTCTTGGTCCTTTTTCTAATGTTCAGGACACACTAAAGAAATAAAAATTGTTCTACCGCTCCCCCCTTCAATATTTGGGGTCTACGTTTCTTTTTTTCCCTTTCGGCAGCGTCTCCCAGGGCACAAGACTTTATACAATCCTATGACGCTAAATCACCTACAAACAAATACCCGTAAGAGAAACCAGGTGTGATTAACGTAAAGACATCAGAAACTATGAAGACACAAGAAAAGAAACTAAGAAATAACCAGCTTCCATGAACATAAACGGGGGGGTGAAAACAAGGTGTAAGATAATTGAAAGACAAGAGAAACAAAGGACATAAGAAAAAACGGTGAAGAAATCATTCACTATGATAAAAACCGGAAATTATACTATGTATATGAAAGCCGAAACGAAGGACAACTTACAATTAAACAAAAGCGAGTCGAGTTATCACAGATTTAAATAAAATCAAAGCAGAGGTGACAAAGTAAGTCAGCAATGTGCCACTTGTATCTGCCAGTTCGATGAAGCATGCTGATTAAAATTATGCGTATCATACGCATTGTTTTAATCTCTTAATGTTAATACTGATATATATGAGTGCATACCTTTTACACGTAAAGCAGAATATGCCTTAGACATTTGGATAAACAAATAATCTAAAATGATTGTGAACAGAAATAATATTAAACACACGAAAATGCAAGAGACAAACGTTAAAAACTATTAAAAGTGGAAATGGTTCATAAGATTTTAAACTTGATTGTTTCTGTTTTATAAAAACTACCTTATGCTGGCTGAAGGTCAAATAAAGTATTTTACTGATAATTACTTGTGTCGTGTGAAATTGGTTTAGCTTTATTGCTAATTCTAGTTATAGGGGTATTGATTTGTTCGAGAAATATGGAATTGTCTAGCAATTTAACTTCAATGTCAATGACCTCGTTTCTCGTTTGTTTACATTTATTCATTCAAGTCATATATTGTCAGAGTGTGTTTAACTCTCTTATTTATCATTTTATCTTGTCTCAGTTTTAGCCGTATGTAATATTCATACCGGGTTTGTTAGAGGAATCAAATTAAAACGTTTTACCGGAAATATATATTGTCATTACATTTTTAGAAAAACATACTGAATGCATTGGTGTCAACATCCGCAGCTATTTAGTTCACACCAATAACATTATGGCGACATTAAAGGCAATCATGGCCAATAGTACAATGTCATCACTATTTAATATGTTTTAGGATTCAAGACACCATACTGGCGAGGGTCGACACTACATAATAAGGAATCGACACGTGTTTTCACTATAATAGGATAATTTGTAAAGACTGCATCAAGCCTTTAAATACGTTGTAGGACTTGATTCAAACAGTCTCTTCCATAGTTTAGAATATTGCATTGATGTGGAGTATTGAGTATATTTATCTATGCAAACGATTGATTGTGTTTGCTGGTTTTGTGTTTAACGTCCTCGCAACAACCAGGGCCATATTAGGACATGTGCCTGTGGAGATATGATTTTGTAGAAGGGAAATCAGGGTAAGGCAGCTTTACACATCCTGGTTGTATATTTGGTCTTGGTAATGCAGCCCAATCTAAGATTTAAGTATTATCTTTAATATTGCCATTATAAACTGAAGGAAAGCCTTCAATTTAATACCAAGTTTATGTTGATCTGTTTAAAACCTGCTCCCAGAATAACAAACACAAAAACACATAAATAGCTCATGGCAAAAAGTTTATTATTTTTCTTCATTGAAAATCTCTGTTGATTTCTTTCTTGTGAATTATTGTTTGGTTTTCCAGCACTTCCTTCCATATTGCAACCTTACACAAGCGTCATAGACTCGTGTCACGTTAGAGAATACAATTGACCTCTTATGCAATTGATCACGTCGAATTAAGAAACCATTTATATCCTGTCTCAATGGCACTGCTCCCATTTGACATCAAATCCAGCAGAAATTCGACATTTAAACTGTTTCTTTGTAGACCTACCACCACGACCTAACGGACATTATTAAAGTTGGCGGCTGGTTGGTGCACTGATTTGACAATTTGGTTTAGTTTGGTTTTATTAAGTTTTACGTCCTATTAACAGTTATGGTCATTAAAGGACGTGCCTCCATGTGTGTTGTGTATGCGTGCATATGTGTTTGTGTGCCGAAGACAGGGTATGTTGATGTTCTTGCCTACTTGTGATAGTTTTTATTACGAATGTACTCTTTTAACTTTATCTTTTATGAAGCTGTCGACACATTCAAATTAAACGCCTTTGTGTTTGCCATTGTATTTAATCCAACATATGTGAGATGTTTGGCTTTTGTATGTCATTCAAAGTGTTGATGGCGTAGTTTTTTTTAACAAAATGATCCTATATTGAATGGTGAAACTTTGATGAAAACAAAATCGATTTAACATCATTTTTTTGTAGACAATCGCGATGGATCTGAGAGGTTTAAAAAAATCTGTTTTGGCACATTCGAACAATATATCGTTAACACTTAGCTTTAATCTTCCCAGTTGTGATTGTCGAGAAAGCGAACACTGCAATGAAAAGGGAAATAGATCCGTTGTCGTGATACCAAATCAATTGGTATATGGGACTGGCATTGCCCTCATCAAGTTTATGGCGTTCAGGATTGGTTAATTCTGATAAATGTTGAATGTGAATCCATTCACTAATAGTAGACGCCCACGCTGATGACATTTATCAATTATTCTCAGTGTGTTTAATATGACATTCAGTAAACAAGGACATCGGAATAATCAACTTTATAGAATAGCCTTTTACAGTCGGCTGACACTTAATTTCATCAACCTAAAGTGTACATTGACGCATCAGTCAATTTGGATTTTGTCATTTATGAAGCAGGAGAGACAAAAAATCTATTACACTATGACGAAGTCCGAACTTTCAAAGTCAATACAGGAGCTAGGGTGACCTCGAAACATGATAAAACTGTATCTTAACTTCAGCGCAAGACAATGATATAATATCGATATTTTAGATAACACTATCAACAAACGTATCTGTATCCGTGTCAGATATTTGTTTCACATATAATATTGGCATACAATGGAAGTGAAGATATAAATAGTATGTCCTTCCATAAATAATTTTGCACTGAAAAATAACATAAGTAAACACCTTCCCCTGTATCGAAAATATCTCGACTTAAACTCGAAGCATGGCCTTCTCAGATACACCCATCCCCAGCGTATCTAATTAGTTTGAAGCCTATTAATGAAACAGCAGCTGAGATAAGCTATGGACATCTGAACTACACTGTATTTAAGTACATGGGTCAAAGTCAAAGGTGCAACTGAGATCACAGTGATTTCGTATTAGAATGCAACACATCACCTGTAATAATTTACCTATACGCAAATGTTGATACCCATTCATGTTACAGCAGCTGAGATATTCCAGTTTAACCTAGGAACCTATTCAGTTTCAACAGTGAAGCCCCTTGTCAGATTTTGTATTACATTATACGTGATGATAGCGAAGTGAAATAGGGAAATTATGCCATTGTTCTTTGATTCAGAATAATCACCTTCAAATCATATACACACTAAATATATTCCGGAACGTTGTTACAGTCAGAGTCATACAAGAGTGTGATTAGGGAGCAACCACTAAAAGGGAAAGTAGGTAGGGAGGAAAGTAGACAGGAAACGAAAAGGATCAAAGTGCTGCAATGGGGACAGCAGACAGATCTTGATCTCTTCCATGATCTTGGTAGAAAACAACGAAGAAAACATCCGATTGTGCACAGGGCCCCACATGATTCGCTTTAAAACATATGCATATGCATGTATATCTAGTCTGAGGAAATGTATGTAATAAACCTTGCCCTCGCCCCCTTGGAACGTTATTCAGGTTTCGTTCACGACAACAAGGCATGTTCCTGTCAAAAATGCTTTGATCCAAGTGATCAGCGGACCTTCATGTTTTTGCTACGTCAAACGTTGATGTTGTTTGGTAATGCCTACTAAAGGGATTCCTTATTGTCGCATTCAGTAACTGGAAGTATTGCTGGAATTAATATTTATTTACATAGACGCTCGAAAACAACCCTCTTCACCAATGCAGAGTAAATAACGAGTTCTTTTAACAATGACTATCATCTTGATAATAGGGAACAGTCAAGTACATAAGGGCGACAAAATGAATGTGTATAAATCATGGAAAACTTAATAATGTGTCCTCTGGTATGGCAATATGTATTTGTCCATATTGTTATCTTGATGCATATAGAAAGCCCCGCAAATTTTCTCATTTGCACTTCAAACTAAAGTATAAGTCTCAACGACATTCATGGAATACATCGATCCTCCATAAAACCGTAAGTATTCCTTCCCGTAGACAGCACATTACCATCGAGAGGAAGATAAATCATATTGGCAGAGTGATAAATCAACGTATTTCATCTTCCTGCTCCAATAGACTTCCTATTTCATTATATATGGCCTCGTTGCGTTAGACATGAAAGTCTTGTAACACAAGTTGTTTGTGATACAATTCTATACTATATATACATTATCTGTCGATATTGAATTAAGCCAGTGGATGTTTCCCATTCTGCACGTCCTCGCTCTGTTCTATATAAAGTATTGTATATACTTGTATGTGACAATATCCTATTATATCCATACTTGCTGTCTTGACATTAACTTCCTGTGAGACATGTTGTTTGTGATACAATATCGTGCTCTTTCTCTTCTGCTCTAGTACATTCTGCATTCAATTCCAACCATCAACGTCAGCGAAGCGTATACATCGTGTTAGATATAAAACTCTACTCCACCACACTCATCCTATTAGGCTGTTTTGATAAAATATTCACTTGTTTGGTTCCTGTAGACTCTTGTGTTCGACTCGTTATAATTTCCCTCTCCGCTCGACATCAGAGTCTTGTAACACGTTACGTTTGATTGCTTGTTTGTTTGTTTGTTTGGAGTTAAACTTCCATGTTACAGCAAAGATCATATCGAGACGTGTGCCAACGGAAAGACCATCGAAAATAAAGAGAAGGGAAGAGGAAAAAGAAAGGAATATTCCACTTGTTGAAAGGAGTGCAAGTGTCGCCTTTTACGACATTCATTGGGGCACATAAGGCCCTTCTCCACCCAAACCTTCTGCACAGGAAGATTTCATTGGTAAAAATACATAAAGACATATATTCAACTATCAAATAACCCATACTTTTTATGGTTGTCTCGACCAGCACTAGTTATTTTCTCAAACTTTTGCAGTATTCCCTCAGAAGTGAAATGTTTATTTCAATAATAATTAAGATCAAGTTTATGGCGCATCAAATACAATTTGATTGATTACCATAAATATGTTTCATATCAGGCACATCACCGTCCTTGCAATAGCCAGGACGAAAAAGGTAGTTCCGCTTGAAAAAGACAGTAAAGAAGAAAAAAGGTAGAAGATAGAAAACAAAACAAAAAAACATCCGAAGAACTACAAGTGGCACGCACATTAGTGGCCTTTAAGATTGCTAATGAATACTCAAATAAACAGCACTATTTAAACCAAATTTTTTATTAAACTTCATTAAACGTAATATTAGATCTGACTGACTGTACATTCATAATGGTACCACATCACTGATAATTACAAATGTATACTTAACGGAGGGACATGGCGTCAAATGGAGCCAATCTTTTATATACGTTCCAAATTTGTGAGATGTGTACACTACACGCAAAATTTAGGATAAACTTACCACTTCTGTGTGCCGCTCCTCCGTGCATTATCCTGGCTATTTCTATGGCGCCTGTTTCTTCCTTCATCTGGATTGTAACCCCCTGGAGAAATATATATACCACTGTATCTAGATCAAAGGCGTACAGAAATTGTTACTTCTGCTTATCCTTGTAGTAATTACCAGTTTCAAAATCAAATGAAGCTCTGAGTATGAATAAACCCAATAACAAAAATTATTTGAAAGAATAATAACATTTTTTTTTTCATTTTTTTTTAGATAAATGAATAAACGCAAAAAATCATATATCAGTCTCTCTCTAACACTTGCTATTAAACTCTGGATACTATTGAGAATTTTGGATATACTTGTTAACTTTGTTTGTATCATACAATACTGTGAAGGTATAAAAAATACCGTGTGCTTAAAATGATCCATATTCTAAAAAATACCAGCATGAGCACATTCAAATAAAAAAGTGATTTGTAATCGGTATTTAGTAGCTGTTACGACCATTTTGTGCTTGATAAAATGTCAAAATTTACGACCTTCTAAAACGATTTCGCTTTTTCCCCCCTTGACAATAACATGTGATGAGCATTTCGAAAAGCCATTAAAACACTCCAGGGGAAATGATGGCCAGTTCATATGAACACAACATGCTATAATCCATTTAAACTGCAGTCTCGTTTAGACTGGTTGACAGCACTCTGCTTTAGTGTAATAAATTCAATTTCCCTGTTGATCAATCTAAAGTTTTCCGAAACGCTGAATTCCGATAACAAACTTAACATTGATGTTCGGAAGTAGAGTGACCTGCCGAGAAATAATGCTCGAGATTTAGTAAAATTACGCAATAAACCTTTGCTGTTTTCTGTGTAATATAATATACGGGAACTTATTTCACCGAAAATATCCAATAGAGGGAGCATACTTGAACTTATTTCACCTAAAATAAGATTCAATTTAATTTCATTACTTTATCAGACGGACAGTTTGATTGTTCTGTAGCTTTTAACAAATACGATAATTCAAACCTAAGAGTTAACACAACTAATCAGGGCCCATTGTCGAAGAGACGGGAGCCTTACAGTTATCACAATGTCCGTCTCGCTTTCTGTCAAGGTCAAGGGTAAATGTTAGTTAAATTTGAACATGGGGGTATGGTCCTACTCGCAAATTCCCCCAAAAATGACATAGCCATGCACTGTGATATGTGTATGTGCAATATGGTTTTAAAAGTGGATAAGGTCAATATCAAGGCAACTGTTTCAACAAAAACAGATAGGGAAGGGGTCGGTCAGGCACACGGGACATTGCTGACCTGTCTATGTCTTAGTTCTAACTGAAATTGATAAAAAAGGACTTCATATTAACAAAGTTGCAAAACAAGAGATATTCAAAATCAGGTGATCCGGCATGATAATGCCTTCTGCTAAATGGATGTTCAAATCGTGGTCAAATCCAGGTGAAGTCTCGTCCGCACCTTGAGTACAAACTCACAAACCGCACATAAAACAAGAAAATGTCTGTAAGACATGAACGCCCCCGCCGCCATGTGGAATGGGTTTCAGTGTTTGATGTTCTAAGTTTACATTGGGACGGGACGGGACGGGACGGGACGGGACTGGACGGGACGGGATGGGACGGGGACGGGACGGAACGGGACGGGACGGGACGGGACGGGACGGGACAGACATGGGCAACACTTTATGCCCCCCTCCCCTATTTTATGATATAAAACGTCGGTATGCATACCGCAGTAGGATGAACATTTTAATCGGACACTAGTTAGAAGATTTTTTTCTCTCGGAAAAGGGGCTTTTATGAAAACTTGTGATCATGTTGAAAAAAGTCTGCCGTTTATAAGTAAAAAGAATGTCAAAAACTATTAATCTCAATCGATAAATATTCCTAAAATAATGGGAGGGAAATAAATAACAATAAACAAGTACAAAAACAACTGACCAGTGGTTCGTCACTCTTGACCAGATGGACGATCTTGAGTGTCTTTTCATCCGTAGCTATGTCATATGTCTCCTGGTCAACGACAGGGTCAAACTCTCCTGCAGCCACACGATCGTGTGTGTAGAGTAACGCCTGTAACACGACAGCTTAAAAAAGCAAATCACGATAACATGTGCTTTACATTACATAACTAATTAGGTTTAAACTTATGACTGAACTTCATGCAAGATAGATTTTGCCATCAATACTATTAAAACGTATGTGGATGTGTCAAAATACATATTATGTACATGATTGATAAAATCAATGTGAAATTAAACAATATGTTGCACTCTTTTTATCTTAATAAAACTGATTTAGAGTATGATGAAATCTGCTGCTTGTTTGTCCCATTAAGCAGAGGGGTAAAATGGAATACTGAATTAAATAAACAAAAATAAAATACATGAGAAAGTATTGCGCTGACGTTTCGACAATGATGATTTCTATTATCTTTAATTGTGTTTCTACTTAAACCTATGTAGTGGGTACACTTACTGCATTTATATGTCATCGCAGGTGAACGTTTTATCATAATCAAGACACATTCGTTTCAAGAAGATAATCTAGCCACTTTCATATCAAGCAGTTAATGCAGCCAATATTATAAAAAAACCACTAAATGTGTGTTTGCTTTTTTGTTTGGTGTATATTTTGCTAAGAATAAGCTGTCTCTGTCCCTTCTAATACTGGCTGTATAATGGACTTTGGCTTGGTTTTATTTTGTTAAATGTCCTATTGATAGCTTCGGTTGTTAAATTTTAAGGGCATGTCTCCGTGTGGATGTGTGCTGGAGACAGGGTATGTAAGTGTACTTGCCTCCTTGTTATAGAGCCAATCTGATGCCGATTTTATTGAGTACCGTCTCTATGAAATACCATGCACCCAGCTAACTAGGAATTGTAGGATACAGCAGGATGAACTCTGTGCATTTTCATGAGAATTTTAAATTGTATTACTTTATTTTCAGATATGATTTTTTTTCGGATTCCACTACAGTTTTTTTTTATGTAAAACGTGATGGTGTTGGGAGGACAGAAAGTACATTGAAATATACAACTGATATATTTAATTAAGTATGTCTTACAAACATAAACTATAAACAGGAATATGATAAAAAAAAAACTCTTCGATGTTTTCGAGGCAAAATAGAAAGAGTAAATAAAGAATCTCGGTGATGCAGTATTAACGGCAAAAATTGGTTCTTTGACACTCCTAAAATAATCATTTAAACCCCGTAGGAATATTCCTAGAAAACTACATGAAACCGTACATTCTTTTCAATTTATTAAAAACGGGTTTCGCTATAACAGGACTAAATTGATCTGTCTATGCTGAGCGACCAATTCTCCATGGGATTGGAGATCGGTGACTCTGCATCTTGTACTTGACATTTTATATATATATTCCAGCATTTACCGTAAAGCATATTTAACATCAAGTGAGAAAGGAGAAGAATTAAAAATATTTTTTTTTTAAAACACATCGGAAGATTAAAAAAACCACAGAGATTTATTTCTGCCCGTAGAAGTGTCAAAACAGTTTATAACTGGCATCATGATGATTTTTTTCGTACCGTCAGATTTTATCTCCAATGGATTTTATTTACACAATAAAAATGAAATCACAGCCAATACAAATGGGTGATATGCGATTGCAAAGATCTTTGACAGCTTACCTTGAGTTGTTGGATTGAACATGTATAGCGAATGTCGATGACTCAGAGCCTATTATCTCGATTATCTTGCCCCGTAGTTCAAAGGCTATTTCGCTTACAATCATACAGCACTACTTATGTTCTCAAACCTTTTTAGTATTCCCTCAAAAGAGAAATTGTATTGAAATAATAATGCAGATTAAGTTTGTGGCGCATAACAAACATCGACTTTCATTCACATGGAACATTTATTTTGGCTAAAATAACAAATTGAAGATGGATTAAATATCTTATTTATTTAATTCTTTTCATTAAAGGGCCTGTTTCCAGTAATGTTAATTCTCCATAGGAGCCTGCCCCCGTATAATTTCTTATCTAGCTCAACTACTGTTATTTTCTTTTCCGAAGAATAATTTTACACCTTTCCGACACCCAGATTTCATAATTTCAGTGAAAATGTATTTTTATAAAGTTGTCAATTTCAGCATCAAAGACATAAGTTCGTAAATAAAAGAAGGTTATCTCGAAATTGTAATTCGCAACATAGTATAAATTTCTTTTGATAAATATTTCCAAAACATCGTGTTTATTCATAAAACATAAAAAAAAATATTCTCGGATGAAAATGCACTTGCAGAGACACAATTATGAAGAAAAATGCCATAAAATTGCAATTTTCTCCCGTTATATAGTTTTGGATGCAAATTTCCATCAGAAAATCGGATAGAGCTTTACTTGTTTCATATGTGTACCAAAAATCAGCTAATTCCATGTGGTGGAACGTTCTCATATCGCCGCCTGAATGTGGTTGTAAATTGAAAGAAAAGGGGAAATGAGTAACAACCTTGTCTGAAACCCTATTATATAGCTTATTATATACAAACTTTTATATTGAATATCAGAGCGGATATTTTCATGACAGTTTTATGATGTGTAACGACTAAATAAACAGTATCGATATAAAGATTTACACTGAGGACACCCTGATACATGAATACTGTTCTATCTCAAGTTGTCCTCTTCTGAATTTTCTGATCGTGTGGCCTTGTACATTTATCCGTATCTTCTTGTCTTTGTCTATACGTTTACGGAATCATTGACTCGACGCTAGCTATTCTTGTCTCACTTTCCTTGTTTTATTGTCCCATCTCCAAAGCGTTGTGGCTCTGTCAGGGTTGGGACCCTGACTTGTCTCACTTTCTTTGTGCCTGCCGACCACGCCACATCGAATAGATAGATTATCCATATGAAATACTTTATTTTGTTCTAAGTAATCAATCAATTCTGCGCTTCTTGGAGGTATTGAATGTGATTTATTATATTGTCTTGTTATTTTGTGTAATTAGTTGTTCGTTATTTATCACACATTTTCGCATAATTGTACCAAACTACTAAGTATTAGCTGTTTACAGCAATCATCGGTGGCTTGCTATTTTGTTACTTTATCGACGCTTCATAAACCAATCGTTATTGTTTCAAGATGGAGGGTAAATGTGTTGGAGAAGGGTGTCAAGTATACTTCAAGAAACGTAGTGGCAATAAGAACAGAAGTGCACGCAATGTAAATAGTCCACAATATAAATGGCTCCTAGATACGCTGGTGCAACAAGGATTGATGTCAGCAAAGGAACAAGCACTTATTTGCCAGAAGTGCTACATGAAGTATCTTCGGAACAAAAATCAGCCTGAACCTGAACCCGAGCAGAACCAGGAAATAGAGGAAGAAGACGACTCCCCGTCCCATATCCTGCCGTTGCTGACCCTTCATGATCTTTTGAATGGATCATCTTCACACAAAAAATGCTGTCTCTGTCTTGTTACCTTTGCAAGAAATGGAACAAAATCATCAGTCTTACCAAAACGTGCAAGACATCACCTGATCTATTCACACAAACTGTGGTGTCCCACCTCATCCCGCGTCTGCTCCATTCACCTTATTGGTAACGACTTAGATCCGTCTACAGAGGTTGTCCTTGATGGTAGAGGTTCCTTGGAATCTCAGTTACCATCAAAATCGTCCGAAATCATTAATGACCTCCTAGAGGTGTCGCACGTCCTTTCACAGAACCAGTCTGCGTTTACAATAAGCTTTTCTTCTCTTGATGACTCGGCATGCATGGCCTGGACAGGTTGGTCCAAAGATCAGTTCCTCGAAATCCACTCGCACTGTTCCCCATATCTTTCATCTGGTATATATACCAAGACTACACACGATGCTCTATTACTGTTCTGGGTAAAACTGAAAACCGACATTTCCTGGAGTCAGTGTTCTTCTCTTTTTGGAATTTCCAAGTCAAGTGTGTCCAAAACTTTCCACTCCATAGTACAGGCATTAGACACATCGATAGTCCCACAATTTCTAGGTCCGGATCACTTGACAAGAGAACAGTTGCTCGGGCACAATACTGTCTTTTCAGAAGCATTTTTTGGAGATAAAGCCACTGCCATATTAGATGGCACCTATATTTATATCCAGAAAAGCTCCGACCACAAGCTCCAGAGAATGTCCTACTGTGGCCAGAAGAAGAGAAACTATCTCAAATTCATGAGCATCGCCTTACCAGATGGCTACATTCTGGACACAGTAGGACCATTCACTGGCAGCGAAAATGATGCTACAATTACAAAAAAAGTCATGGACAAGCTAGTTACTTGGCTACAACCAGACGACAACGTTGTCGTTGACCGAGGTTTTAGAGATGTCCTACCAGTTCTCGAAGCCTCTGGCCTCAATGCTAGCATGCCGTCATACCTGAAACCCGGTCAAAGTCAACATTCTGACGTCCAAGCAAATCTTGACAGAACTATCACCAAATCGAGGTGGATTGTGGAATCCTATCATGGTCGTCTGAAACACTGGACGTTCTTCCGAACGCAATTGGTGTCTAACAGCTTTATCAATGTCATCGAGGCTTTGCTTCGAACCGTCACAGCCTGTCTGAATGGTATTAGAGGACCGATCTACCAGAGATCTCCAGAGAGAGATGCCAAAGATAGGCTAATGGCTGAACGTATGAAGGACCGTTTGACAACACCGAATGGTTTAGCTCAGAGAGTCAAGACAGATCCGGATCTATCTAGACGGGCAAGGTCCGAGTTTGTCAAGATGGATGCATCTTCCGTACTGTTTCCCCGTCTCGATCTTGATTACTTGAGAACCATTACGTGTGGAACGTATCAGATATCTCTGGCTCCTGGTTACATCGCCGAACATTTAAGTGATGACGGAGACTATGAGGTGTGGCTTTACCAGCACTCCCCAGACCTTCTCCGATGTCAAATACATTCTCGACACAAAAGCCAAACGAAATATAACGTTTGGATACGGTTCACCGTTTCACCCGATGTTGAGGCCCCAATAAAGGACTACTACTGCCAGTGCCCAGTTGGAGAGAGAACGATGGGAATGTGTGCGCACATCTCCAGTATCTTGTACTACCTTGGGTATTACAGGACGCTGGAAAACCCTCGACCATTACAACCACAGGTAAAGAAATTCCGACAAAACTTGAAATAGTTTTCCATGCGGCAACGGAGTGCATATGTCGAAAGTATGTTTGGGGCTCGATATGAAAGATCCCCGTTACCATGTGACTAACCAAACTTATAAATATAGGTATTATACAATCGCCCGTAGCTATGAACACTCCCGTAAATGCGAAAACCAACCAAAATCATAAGGAACACGTTTTGTTTGTTGTTCTGTCTATTTGTCAGCCAATGTCTTCAACCACGGGGACTTGTGAAGTAGCCATCTTGGATTTTTTTTATGAAAAAGTGTTTCTCTCACTTTTTTTCATATCTGTGTACATATTCTCAACATACCGAGCAAATACTCTCGTTTTTTTGTTAATTATCTAAAGAAAGTCGAAAATCGGCAATTCAACCATAGGCTAATTCAACCCAACATTTGAAAATGTTCCACCACTTACATTTTGATGATTTTTCCTCTCATCAATAGCATATTACGTACTGTTTAATAGGATAAAAATTGGTTTGCATCCAACGCCCATAAAAGGGTGTATTCTCTAAAAAACACAGTTTTTGTGTCTAAAATGTTATCATCGAAAATGGCATTTTTGAGATTGTTTCTTCCATAAAACAGCCAAATGGCGCGATGGAAACATGATTTTTTGTCACAATCATGCCATGAATGTATTCTTTACGGTGACCATCATTTGATTAGATTTTCATTAATATTTTACATAACATGCACATTTTATCAACACTTAGACAGCTTCTGAAAGGTACAACTTTGAGGAGCCATAAAAAAAAAACAAGTGACCTAAATCTTTATACTTTATAGATTTGTGACCACAACGGTATGGGCAATGCACCACCAACAGGAAATTTGAATCAGAGAAGGGGCCGTTTTGGAAACCGGCCCTTTTTAATAAAAATGATGAAAAACTAATGGGTTACCAATTCTATCCTATTTTTGTGACAATATCGAATGACCAACATTATTTGTTTACAAAGATTAACGTAACACCCTAATATAAATGTTTCATTTCTATTTTGTAACAAGCACAAACGGGGAACATGTTCCAATTTTTTTATTATTTTTTTATAGCATAACAAGGTATTGCTAAAGAGTCACTCTACTATTCTCCGATACTGTTCCATAATAGATGCGATACCCAACAGTAAAACATAACATTTCCTACAGTTTTGCCATAAACATGGGTTGTTTTCCCAGATTGGAACATAATCAGGTCCTTACACACGATAGTTATTTTTCCCTATTTGGTACATTATTTTTTTACTTTAATAGAATCTTCCGGTGGAATTTTCAACTCTTGTCCTTAAGTGCTGGATGTTCGCCCAAATTTGAAAGATGTCTATAGCTTCTGTCGAAAAGCCAGGACATGCCAAAGTCTTTAAGATATGATAGTTATAATTCCTTGCTAAACGCTCAGCTTTCAGGGTAATCACAGCAACAGGTTTACCCGTTGTCAGTATCATGTGACCTGATAGAATACTGTGTTCGGTTCCTTCGGCATTGTATTTCAGTAAAATATATATAAAAGTCGGCGTCTGGTCTGTGCAATCGCAAGGAGGCAAATACACAAAATACCGCATCCAGCAGACATACACACATGCATGCATATTATGCACACATGATGACACATCCTTAACTGACCCTAGCTGTTAATAAGACTCTGAAATCAATACCGCTAAACAACGTAGCAAATACATTTTAGTTTCCGTAATGTTGCCTTAGAAGAAACGCACAGGGAAACATCCGATTATGTACGGTAGGTTGGTAGTAATTAAATGTTGTTGATGCGAAACAAGAATTGCCTCTTGAATTCAGCGCATTCAGTCACAAAAATCACATCTAGTAATTGAATTTTAAAATCAGTTAAATCTCTTGGCAGACCTACCGTTTATTCATTTTCTATCACGTGACCATGTATGACTTTGTTGTATTTTCGTAGTTGTCCGGTCTAGGTATTCCATTTTTTACGACCTTCCGTAATTCAACTATGTAACGTGTAACATGTCTAAATCCGGTTTATCCGTTTCATTTTATAAGAGTTGATGTAATTTCCGATAACGAGGTTCTGCACGGACTATTTGTTATTTTAGCATAAATGTTGTTTTACGCAAGAAGTTCATGCAAAGATATATGTATTAAAGTAAAATCGATATACGTTAAAGACTGGTTTGATAAGCGTTATATTTCCCATTATACATACTAATAAATAATCCTTTTGTCAGTTTCTGACATCCAATCCCTGCGAACAGTACGCTTCTTTTACATGTTATATCGACTTTTAATTCAAATAGAGACGAACAGTCTGTACAAAGTATTTGCAAAGTGCAACAATTGAAGCTTGAAGTACAACCATTTTGACGTGGGGAATATATTGTACTGAAATGAACATTATTTATGTGTGGTATGAAATCTAGGTTCCAGTGTGTCTGAGAATAAGCCAGATTGTGATTGATTTTTAGGTTTTATAACAATTCCATGGAGAATTTCTTTGATGATATAAAATCAAAAGTAAAGGAGAGATCGTTTTGAATTAATTTAATTTACTGTGTTGATCGAATTTCATATTTCAGTTAGGAACTGTATATGAAATCAAACTGGATTAATGTGAAGTTGCCCTTAAGTTAACTTTGCTGCAACACCCGAATTGACATTGATTGATAACCATCGCAACAACGGATTTTGACGTTCGTTTTTCAGTTTTCAGTGCATGAAGCTATTGTGAAATTAAAAGAATCCCCTTTTTTCTTAAATGTATTGATAAACAATTCCTATTGTGCAAAACAAAGCTATTTTACAGGGTGTTATTTTTCATGAGTGCAATAATTGTTCCAGCTCATGAATGGTTTTTAAATATGAAATATCTCTAGATTATTAATTTTTGCTTTATTTATTTTTTATTTTAATTTGTTGTTTAATATTGAATTGCTTAATTTGTCTTAGAATGAAGTCGTTAGCTTTGAGTGAATGGTGAAGTCTTGGCCCTTTTAATAGTATCTCAGTATTTCAGTCGGACATCTTGAATTATTTATTCTACTTATTACTGGCCCTATGTCACATGGCGTATATCTCCACATGTGTGCAATCATGCGCTTATGATGGGGATGTTATGAATAAAATAAAGATTTAAACAATCGTGATCCCTTTTTCAACATACTCTATGTTATATTACGGTTTTCGACTTTTTCACTTTCAAAGTCAGGAAAATAACAAAATTAAACATTAAAATGCAATTTTCTTGTAAGGTACCAGCGTTTACGTGGCAATCACTTAAATGCAAGTTCAGCCGTTGACAAACTCACACTTTTCACACTGATCATAAAAATGGTAAACGTCTGTAAACATTTAAATATAATGATAATTAAACGCATATGCTCAGTTTTGTGGAAGCTGAACGTTTCTGTCAAGTCTGCACCTGGTCCCGCACTGCACGACTTTTATGATTCGAGGTCACACTCAGATGACCTAAGCATAATGAGATTGCTGAATGAATTTTGAAACAGAGTAGTCAACATGGACGACAAAAAAATCGATGATTTCTGTTTCACATCGACAAAGAAATCTGAAACCTAAGAATATGATTTTAAATATCTAGAACTCGGCTTCAAGCTGTTTTCATATTGATCTAGCACGAAACATGTATGCCAGATATGATCAGTTCACGTATATAATGCAAATATTCTTCTTCTCTTGACATCAAGTACAATGTTTGTATGTACACACTTTGAAAACGAGGTAAAACAACAAATAACAGACGGGGTTTAACCATACCGGGAAGCAACATAGCGCGTTCTCATTATAAGCTTCCGTACAAAATATGGTTTCAAACAGGAAACTTGGAAGGATAAACGTATGACACACCCGGCACCAATATAATATACCCAGAATTAGCTCGAAACAGGGGAGATAACTAATATTGATATTACCTGGACATGCGGCATGGATAAAATCTGTAACAGCTCTCTTGTGGCACGTGCTTCCTTTTCTGAACCCTTTCTCACGTCACAGAATGTCTACAAAAGGGTACAGAGAATGGTATCAACTTGAGACAAGGTCTGCTGACATTCACTCAACACGTCACGATAACAGTCTGAAGGATCCCACTTTTCAGAAATTATTTATAAAAATATATTCATGTAGAAAAAAAACAAGTTTCAATGAGTAGTTATAGTTGTTGTAAGTAGGGGTACCTTTCACGCATTTTCAGGAATGCCTTGTAGCATAACTAACAGCTTCCATGTTGTTGGTTTTTTTTTGTGTTTTTTTTCAAGAAAACATTTTTACTACGGCTACCGTAAGTTTACTCGCAATGATATTTATTTATTTCGTGTATTAAAAAATAAATAAAAATGACATGTTGATAGGTTGTTAAACATTAAACTTATTCGAGTACCTCTAAACCTATTCAAGTGTTTATTCATCTTTAATCATGACGTCATTGCCAATAGTGTTAAGTTGCCTATGCTTCCAAACAATTCAAGGAGACCCCATTAAGAGAGCATTGCACACTGAAGAAATAGACAAAAAGTTAATTCAGACATTCATACTATAATACATGTCTATTTCATAACACCCATTTGTATATTAATAAAATAAATTTAAAGACTTACATTTGCTGCTAATGCAACCGATGAGCGGGTCACAGGGCGCATGCGCCGGTGGCTCATAATGCAAAGCCGCTTATACATCTGCAACATTAGTTAAATCATAATAATTAATTAACAGCTGAGTCATAATGTAAATCCCCTTATTCATTTGTAGAAAAGTAAACAAGTTAATTAACTAACTGTGTATACGAACATCCATAGACTCATACATAATATTGTTGTATTATTAAGTACATACTAGATTAGTGTTTGGAACAATTTTCACGAAATGTCAATTGAAAACCTATCCTCGTCTCTAAAATGGTATTAAGGAAAGCTCCATCGAAATATAATGTCGCAAAACAAATGTCCTTACCTCTTCAAATATAAAGCAAAAATATATCACAATACCATTTTGAAAAAATGTATCGACCATCCCTCAGCAAATATGAAATAAAATTCTGTGCAGCGACATTTCTGGGCTGTCTGTTCAATGTTTAATTAAGTTGATGAAAAAGTTCAGTGAAGAAAGATGATATGACAGGATGTCAGTGATGTTAGTAATTGGGATAATTAATGTCTAATGTCTGTCAGGATCGGAGTATAAAATGTTAAAACTGCACGTATAATGTACGACTCGCAAAGGAAAAGGGGGACAATTAGTATCAAATTACCCGTATTAACCCCTGACATTTAGAATAAACGTGTTTTTCTCATATACTAAGTATCTCAAGTACATACAAGTATAACAGAATCTCGCCTATCCGGAATTTCTCTAGTCTAAACATTTTTTTTATCAGACTATTCTCGATTTGGGTTTAACGTCTTTGCAATAGCCAGTGTCAAGGGAGACAACTCCGGAAAGAGAGTCCATTTAGTAACGTCCAAACAGCTTAGGCCATTTAAGGACGTGCCTCCATGTATGTTGTGTGTATGTGTATACGTGCTGTATGCCTTCTTGTGATCGCACGGATCTGAAAGCGACTTTATAGTGCTATCGCACTAGAATACCATGCCAATTGAAAAGGAAAAAGATCGCAAGTGTTGCAATAAGGCTGTATATTAATTTTGGTTTCCTCCATAAACGCGCTTGAACTTAATTACCTTCACTGAAAATTTAAGATTCATTACAAAGGAAACCGTGCAATTTTAGGGAAAGAATAGGCCTGCTGTATTTTACTGCATGATAGTTTGAGGCGACTAATGTGTGTAGCCCGTGTATAATCGTTTTTTTTGTGTTTTCTACTAAGGCGACACTGAAAAGATCAAAATTGATATGATGCCCCAATTACAACACTTGGGATCTTTATCTTTTCTTTTCTTTTATATCTTTGTATTTACTTTCTGTTTCAGGTGGTGTCTCCTCAGGCACTCGTCCTCATATGACCCTGGCTGATTCAAGGACGTTAAACCCCAAACAAATCGTGACAATGAAAAATGTGTGCTACAATTGGAAACCACAATGTCTGGAATAGCGGATATCGCCTTACCTAGAAATAACAATGTTTAGACTAACGGTAATCAACATGTCAGACTATCGAACTCCCTTTGTACACCAGATGTACTTAAACTACAATCTGTTTCGTTTTAAAATGCCCCGGTTCAGCCCATTTTGTATATAAAATTGTACGGTTCACATTATATATTGGCGAGGAGAATCGGTACGGGGCAATTTTGAAACTAAGCTCACGGGAGCAGGTCAACGTTGTTTGACATTTAGCATTTAATTGTTTATAGAGACTTTGTTATTCGAAGCTATACACTATCTAACGCACCAGGAAGTATTCACGAAACTAAATTATTTATGTCAACATTAAACACGTGTGTTCGACTATATTATCCAATCCGATATATCACAAATGCGTTCGTATATTCCCAGACGACATAGATGCTGTTTGATGTCTACTTACATTGGAATAGACTAAATTTCCAATAAACATTAATCTTCATCATTTACACTGAAACATTCAGTAGAGCAGACCACATAAAGGAAGTTGCCCTCTCGCGACTGCGCATAGAACCATACATACGTCACCCATAGTTACAGATTCTGTAATTCATGGTCTATGAAAAGTTTATTTGATACAGTTTCTGCTCAACCAATGTTTAATTATTTTCACTCAGTTGATCTATATAATAAAACTTTATATATTTTACAACCAATTCGTTCACCTTTTGTACACCTTTTAACCTTTATTTTTCTTGTTTCATGTATCCAGTTTTTTGTGAATGTCTCTTTTAACACGGTTGTTTGGCCCTAAATTACTTGCATTGTCGATGGGCTGTAAAACAATAGAAATACATTTCGGAAACCAAGATATGCGAGTATAGACGTAACGTCTATCGCCTCGGTGACACGTACAGGCAATAACCCAAAGATCTGCACGTATAGATTCCCTCACCTAGCGCGATCTATTGGTGTGACAATACAAAGATCTGCACGTATAGATTCCCCCATCTAGCGCAATCTATTGGTGTGACAATACAAAGATCTGCACGTATATATTCCCTCACCTAGCGCGATCTATTGGTGTGACAATACAAAGATCTGCACGTATAGATTCCCTAACCGAGCGCGATCTATTGGTTTGACAATACAAAGATCTGCACGTATAGATTCCCTAACCGAGCGCGATCTATTGGTTTGACAATACAAAGATCTGCACGTATAGATTCCCTAACCGAGCGCGATCTATTGGTTTGACAATACAAAGATCTGCACGTATAGATTCCCTAACCGAGCGCGATCTATTGGTTTGACAATACAAAGATCTGCACGTATAGATTCCCTAACCTAGCGCGGTCTATTGGTTTGACAATACAAAGAGCTGCACGTATAGATTCCCTCACCTAGCGCGGTCTATTGGTGTGACAATACAAAGATCTGCACGTATATATTCCCCCACCTAGCGCGATCTATTGGTGTGACAATACAAAGATCTGCACGTATAGATTCCCCCATCTAGCGCAATCTATTGGTGTGACAATACAAAGATCTGCACGTATAGATTCCCTAACCTAGCGCGGTCTATTGGTTTGACAATACAAAGAGCTGCACGTATAGATTCCCTCACCTAGCGCGCACTATTGTTGTTACCATACAAAGATCTGCACGTATATATTCCCTCACCTAGCGCGCACTATTGTTACCATACAAAGATCTGCACATTTAGATTTCCCCATCTAGCGCGATCTATTCGTGTTACCATACAAAGATCTGCACGTATAGATTTCCTCACCTAGCGCGATCTATTGGTGTGACAATACAAAGATCTGCACGTATATATTCCCCCATCTATCGCAATCTATTGGTGTTAGCATAGAAATATCTGCACGTATAGATTCCCTCACCTCTAGCGCAATCTATTGGTGTGACAATACAAAGATCTGCACGTATAGATTCCCTCACCCCTATCGCAATCTATTGGTTTGACAATGCAAAGATCTGCACGTATAGATTCCCTCACCTAGCGCGATCTATTGGTGTGACAATACAAAGATCTGCACGTATAGATTCCTTAACCTAGCGCGATCTATTGGTTTGACAATGCAAAGATCTGCACGTATAGATTCCCTCACCTAGCGCGATCTATTTGTGTGACAATACAAAGATCTGCACGTATAGATTCCCTAACCTAGCGCGATCGCTTGGTGTGACAATACAAAGATCTGCACGTATAGATTTCCTCACCTAGCGCGGTCTATTGGTGTGACAATACAAAGATCTGCACGTATATATTCCCTCACCTAGCGCGATCTATTGGTGTTACAATACAAAGATCTGCACGTATAGATTCCCTCACCCCTATCGCAATCTATTGGTTTGATAATGCAAAGATCTGCACGTATAGATTCCCTCACCTAGCGCGATATATTGGTGTGACAATACAAAGATCTGCACGTATATATTCCCTCACCTAGCGCGATCTATTGATGTGACAATACAAAGATCTGCACGTATAGATTTCCTCACCTAGCGCGGTCTATTGGTGTGACAATACAAAGATCTGCACGTAAAGATTACCTAACCTAGCGCGATCTATTGGTGTGACAATACAAATATCTGCACGTATAGATTCCCTCACCCCTATCGCAATCTATTGGTTTGACAATACAAAGATCTGCACGTATAGATTCCCTCACCGAGCGCGATCTATTGGTGTGACAATACAAAGATCTGCGCGTATAGATTCCCTCACCTAGCGCGATCTATTGGTGTTACCATACAAAGATCTGCACGTATATATTCCCTCACCTAGCGCGATCTATTGGTGTTACAATACAAAGATCTGCACGTATAGATTCCCTCACCCCTATCGCAATCTATTGGTTTGACAATACAAAGATCTGCACGTATAGATTCCCTAACCTAGCGCGATCTATTGGTGTGACAATACAAATATCTGCACGTATAGATTCCCTCACCCCTATCGCAATCTATTGGTTTGACAATGCAAAGATCAGCACGTATAGATTCCCTCACCTAGCGCGATCTATTTGTGTGACAATACAAAGATCTGCACGTATAGATTCCCTCACCTAGCGCGATATATTGGTGTGACAATACAAAGATCTGCACGTATAGATTCCCTCACCCCTATCGCAATCTATTGGTTTGACAATGCAAAGATCAGCACGTATAGATTCCCTCACCTAGCGCGATCTATTTGTGTGACAATACAAAGATCTGCACGTATAGATTCCCTCACCTCTAGCGCAATCTATTGATGTGACAATACAAAGATCTGCGCGTATAGATTCCCTCACCTAGCGCGATCTATTGGTGTTACAATACAAAGATCTGCACGTATAGATTCCCTAACCTAGCGCGATCTACTGTTGTGACAATACAAAGATCTGCACGTATAGATTTCCTCACCTAGCGCGGTCTATTGGTGTGACAATACAAAGATCTGCACGTATAGATTCCCTCAATTATCGATCTATTGATGTTACCATAGACAGATCTGCCCGTATAGATTCCCTCACTTAGCTCGAGGTTTTGGTGTTACCATACAAAAATAGCAAAGAATAAAATATTTGTTTCAACCGTCAATCGATGGAAAACATACTAATCAACAGCCTTGTGATTACCTTATCTCTCGTCTGTACTGAATGTAACAATCCGTACAGTAATTAAAATATCGCATTTCAGTAAGATGGCACTTTTTAGTGACAACTAAATCGTCATTCGTGTGTACCATTTTTACTTGACTATACCGTAGCTGTCACAATGACACAAAATCCTTTAAATCAAAATCAAAATACTCAGTATTATTTTCAGTATATTCTGTATAGACTGATTGTATTTTGAACAATTAAAAGCAGACCTTAAATGTCAATCTTATTTTTCATGGATTCAGAAACAACGAGTTTTCCATTTTTGTGAGATGTTAACGAACTGGTATCTTTAAACCATCTTTCATGTGGTTTGGACAGGTTTTTGCCAATGTTTCAATATGTGCAAGGATTGAAATGTTGGTTAGTTTCCAATATAAAATAATTTACGAACTCTCCATTAATGCCTCCTGTGTAAATAAAAAACAAACAATTTCAGAATATCGACAAAGTTTTGACATATACTACGAAGGTCCTGGGTGGTCTTACAAGATATGGTCAGTAGATGTATACAGTATAGCTGTTGATTTGTCAATTTCGTACGTAAGTGATATTGTAATTATTTAACTATGACTACAACGCTTTCCTTCTACATAAACTATATAATATACAGTCTGCCTCAGAAAAATGCCTTTCGCGAGTGTCCTGATTTTACAGGTTTGTTTGTTTGTTTAAAAGGGTTCAACATCGTTTGTTTGGTTTGGTTCAACAGCTAAGGTAATTTAAGGACGTAACGTCATTTGCAATAATTCATACAAATATATTTTCAATACGTATGCGTAGGTACATAAATAGATCGACACCTTCACTCTACGTTCTAATATATTTCTACAGCGATGATATAAGTATAAACCTTTTATGTAGATTTATATAGCACAACCAATGAAATGCGATATGTCACGTTTCGATGACTAGTGCAATGTGTACTAAAAATGCGTTTTTCTGATTAAAACGACACAGTACATGTTTTCATAGAATACCAAACATCAACATACCATTCGTTATGATATAATATCCTGCATACAATACATAATGACCAATCCTACGAAAATGTCTAGAAATATAAATATTCAGCATATTACAGAGAGCAAGGTGGGCTGACAATGCCTTTCACGTCTCAACAAGCAATCACTAAATAAAGACTACATAAAAACAAATGAAAAAATGTTATAAACAAACCTTCATAAATATGTCAACGTATATCACGCTTCATCTTGATTCATATATCACAACACAGCTAAAATCCACGTCAACGATAGAAACACAGCGAGATATCCTATATCACAACTCAAAAAATACTCCCAATGCAGATGACGAAGCTGATAGCCAATATGTCTGTTCCCTAACCCCTACGCGATCATAATTTTCTAAGGAACCTTTGTGAAGCTGTCACAATGCAAAGCCTAGCTGGGTCGTGGGTTTCCATGGTAACTAATATTAATGGAATTACGATCTTAGGTCTCATACAGAATTGTAATATTGCTGTCGAACCTCATGGTTTGTTGTTTCCCCGTGTTACTGCCAATTCTCGCAATAATGAGTCACTCGAGGAATGCGGAATTGGGGGTCTTAACCCGACATGAGGTGGCAAGTCTGAGTAATGACATCAAATATAATTAAGTGTCTGAGGTGGCGGCGTCTTTGTGGGAAAAAATGGGAGATCAAAATGGAGAATTGGGCGTTAAAAGAAAATGACTTGGTGGGGAAATAGTATGATCAGCGATGATTTCTCTTAACTCTTAATTTATCTCGTCTTCGATTATATGTTGATCTGTATGGTAAATGTTAAATAAGTAAATTAATATATATATATATATCCGACAAACACCATATCTATTTGGAGGGTTTGGTTTGTGTTTTTTACGTGCCAGGAAAGTTACATGTATGTAAATAGGTCGCATATCATGTCGTGATCTATTAATTTTTTCGTATATTATATTTCCGATTATTTTTAATAAACCACATAAATATTCCCATGTTAAGCTTTATTATATTTGCATATTTTATTTTTGACTGACCGGGATTCTCGATAATGCAGGTAAAGATGATTCAAATCGGTTTTAATTATATTTTATTGGTAATTTCTCGTTAATCAATTCGTAATTATCATTATTATTTTTTGCTTTTTAGAAATAAAAGAATTTGTACTTCCGACTCAACTGCCCCGATTATTGAGGTAATCAACGACACGAAAGCATGTGTCGGAACTAGCATGTACCATAATTTAGGGTGTCCAGATTAGAAAGGTTCAATGATCTGTAATTTGTACGAACTAATGATGTTTTACTACATTATAAAATTAAATTTCAAGGGTATACACGTTCTACTGTATCAAACATCTGGCGTTCATTGGATTTTTATTTCACGTGGAAGTGTTTATCATTGCCGGCTCTGACAGGTATTCCCTGGTTCAGAGCCTCAGACACCGCGACTCTGCCTGCCCTTGTAAACAGATTACAGGGGAATTTTAGCTGTAGATTGCGTGTACAACTCCGGAAGTGATTACGACGATTTGATCACGTGCCAACAGTAAATGAGATATGAACAGCATAACGCTTTGGTTTATACAGAATTCGACTTGATAAGTATGGTATTACGTAATGCGCGCGAACTGATCGCGCACGATATATATATAAAAATGTATATATGCACGGCATGTAGAATAAACCATCTCGCTCAAGGCCGCCAACTTGTAATGTACTTTGACTGAATGTGGAATTAAGTAGGGCTGGGTATCGCTTTCAATTGGGGGTTCAACATAAATGAGGTCAAATCTTTTTTACACTACTGTAAATGACATGGCTAAAAAGGGCAGGTGAGTCTTTTCCATGGTGCGGCGTTCATCAATTTTTTTTAAGACTTTTAATTCTTAGCGGCTAAAGAGTATTTGCTACTTGGCATGGATCATCCCTGAAGCGAATGCAACTAGGGGAGTAGGCTGTTAGGACTGAGGGGCGACATGTGTATGGAGGGAGCAGTAATTATTAGCATAGTTTTACAATACAGTCTAGCAAAAAAGAACAACATGAGGGTCCATTAGCCATGGAAATTCACAGTGGTATAAATACAGCGCCCTCGTGGGGGCGATGCGTTATAGCATAATATCGAAAATAATTCTTAATCGTTTAAAGTAAAGAGTAAGGAGTCAAATTATTTACACTCAATTACTTTAACCAACCTGTGGGCTATGGATGCATTTTTTGCATCTTTTACACCGATTCACCTATTTATTTTTCTGTTTAAAAAAAAAAAGTTATTTTGATGAAAGTCTATACTTAACTAATTGTTTTGCTCTGAATGACTAACAACAATGCAAGCATTTAGTCATAGGAATGAAAAATATGCTCCGCACAGATCGCACCTCTCTAATCCAGAACATTATTCACTAACAAAAATAGTCATGACATCTTCCGACCATTAGTCGAGTTGATTTCACACAGTATATTAAAAAGAAAACCGGAATTGCACGTGACCGTCTCTCGACAAAAAGGCTTGCAGAGAGAAAACCTAAATATATGAAAAGATAAGTGGAAAGATTAACTCCCACAAACAATCATTAATATTAATTGAGTAATTACCTTCATGGTGAGCTGAAGGTCTTTCCTGCGGAGGAACTTCCTGAGTAGTGACGCGTCGTTTTCGTTGTCAAACAAATCCGACTGTATCTGAGGTAAATGCTGCAGGATCCTCTGACAGTCTGTGAGTGAAAGGTCAAATAACAAAGGTCACGGTTAATTAAGAATTCATTAATATCAATATTAAATTTATTCCGAAAGGAAACGGAAACATTAGCAACGACGGTAAACATTATTCAATCTATTGTATTTTACTTAATTTTATAATTAAGAAAACGCAACACAGCCGTAATGTAAATGTCAAATGTTACAATTTAAAGGTTAATGTTAAGATAAATATCTTGATAACAAGTAACGACACCAACGAATCGAAATTAATTCTTATCGTTTTATTTCTGTTTCGTGCTAGTTGATTCTTTTTAATTTTGAAATGTATTGATTTGAATGATTTTGACCACTCAGCTAAATTCAATACGGTTCATGAGTATCACTACGCGGTACTTTTGGAACGTTTGTCTACCGTATAGCCGTATGATGTCATCACTAACATGTTCGCGATATGTAGGTTTGTAAGTGTCCTGGTGACGTCATGCATAACATTAAAATCACATCAAGAACAAACGATGAAGGGCATAGTTAGCCAATGGTAATATCAAAAATCCTTTCCAATAGAGTTCCATACCAATAACTATGTTGTAAAAATATTTACAAATTGTAATACGAACTTTTGCCATCAGGCACATCTACCGCTATCATACAGTTGGTTCCTATAAGGGCTCAAAAATGAACTTTGTCAAAGAATTGACATCAAATTTGATAGATGCACTGATAACACTAATAACAATTCTGAATAAATAAACCACGTTTCATTCAATGTCCCCAAGCTGATCTACACAAACATGAGTACTTAACATCAAAATAGAAATTCAAATACGCGTGATTAACGTTCACAACTTCCTGGAAAAGATCGTTTTCGCTCTCACAAAATAGCCTTTAGCTAGATAATTCTGTAATTGATTGAAAACCGAAAGAGATAATGAGAATTTGTCTGTCAAAGCAGCGTTTTAGGCTACCTTCTAAGATTAGATTTTATTTTCATATTGATGTTTTTGCTGTTTTGAACGTGGTGAAATATTGAAAACATAACTTTAACGATTGCGAAGTACAGAAAGAAAAAAAAAAGTAAATACAATTATGTATGGTTATATAATGTGGACAAAAACATGACGTCATTCTGAGCAAATTATAGCCAGAAAATAATGACGTTATAATGTGCTCATTTAAGGAGCTCACGAAAAACAATGACGTCACTTCACCGGGATCGATCTGCGTCTGGAGGTCCAGTGGTAACGTCATTGGCATTCTTAAGTGCTGCCATCTAGCGGAAGATCATTGTCCCTGCATCCTGCACCTGTAAAATAAAAAATAAATCAGTTTCTTGTTTGAAGTAACATTTATGACAAAGCACTTTTCAACACAATAACTGCAACTTTCCCCCCTGGTAACATCTTGATACAACTGGTAACAAGACAGGTATGACGTCATCTATAAACAAAGGTCGAAGTGTACTAATACAAAAACGAGTGTCCGACTTTTCAGAAGTAAACGTTTTCATTACCTTAGACACCATAGGGAAGTTTGCCCGAATCAACAGTTGTAGTATATGATATACGTTTGCTCTTGCTAAAAGGTGCAGATCACTTGCAACACTGCATTTACTTTTGATCATTTCACGGACACATGTAGTGATCCAAAACAATTTCCTAATATACCTTTTTTATATTAAATATTCCATTGGATAAAGTAAGAATGAACTTTTCGAACCAAGTCACCGTCCATATAGATTCAGTCAAACTTCTTCTAATCGAACTTCGAAGATTCGAAGTGTCGAACTTACTACAAAGTCTGGATTTTTTGTCTTGCATAACTCTACTGCCGTTCCATATATAAATCGAACTTTTATAAGTCGCAATTCTCGCTGTTCCGAACTACAATCAAGGCCCGATTGTTAGGAAAACGTTAAAACTTGCAACTAACAAACCGAAGTGAAAAAAAGAACATTGGAATGTTAACACTAAAACATGCAAAGTACAATGAACAAATACATCAAATTTAATTTTCTAACTACATTTAATTCAATACTTGTAGATTTCAAATTAAACCTTTTGCCTTGTGTTCTGTCATTTAACAACCACATTCCATCTTATGTAGATTTCAAATATGTTCGAAGTTCAACATTCGTGTGTCGAAGTCTCAAATATTTTCCCGATGTTCCCTAAAAGGTAGAAAAATCGAAGTTTGACTATGTATGTTTTTTACTATTTAAAAACAAATATTTTTTTATCACGTTTTACAGCCTGTCCGTTTGACAAAATGTAGAAATACAAGTTAGCCAATCGTTTAGTCTGTACCCCTACCATACCCACATGTATTCGCCGTCTTCTGATCGTTAAAACTCGCCAGTTCACAGACTGTTTGATAATATCCAGCATTCCGTGACACAGAGGCGGTACTTTAATAGGCAAGATCACATGCCACCCTTTATCTAAATTAGATAATTGCAATTAATCGATTTCCCTGCAAACAAAATCACATTACCAGGCTAAGGTTGGAAGCTTTTTATAACATTTTCCCTTTTATTACTAACATTTAAACGGTTGTAAACTCAAGGGAAGGTCTGCCTATTTGGCAATATAAGAGAGATTTGGGCAACCCGTAATTGCCGTTAACGGTACGTTTGTTTTGTCCAGAAAGACAAATCCTGCAGACGACCACAGTGAAATTGTCGCGATGATTTGGTGGTAATATCAAGTGATGGCGGGAAACGCGCGGAGAACTAGTCAATTTTATGAGAACTCCGTCGAAGCAGAAATCGATTGCAATTGCATTGTAAGTGAGCGAGTGGGGATATGAGTGTAAGGAAGGGACAGAGGGAGGGCGAGCGGTAATGGACCAATGTATGAAATCTTGTGCGAGGAATAAGAAGATAAGGACGAGGGGGAGTGTATGGTAGGGACGGATAGAAACCTGAAGTATGGAGGAAGGTGAAAATGAATGTTTAATAATCAGTTGAAGAAAACATCAGAATGTCGGGGGTAGAAATAAACTGTCGGGGAAAAATGACTGTCGTGATAATATATGATTGGGAGACGAGGAGGGAAGTGTCAATGATATTCCAATATCGATATCGAGTAATGTGTATTCCCCAGTTGACACGAAAACTAGACCGCAGAGTGGACACAGATGCCAATACACTAATGGCAGCATAACTATAATGATTACCTCTCAGTTACCATAACTACCGGCCCAAGTAGTTAATGGCCGCTTAGCTTCTCATTATGGAGGTTCTAGAGGAGGTTCCTAAAGTACTAGGGATGTCTCGCTCGCTAACAAAATCAACTCTAGCTTTGTTTATATTTCAACTAATATTCAAAACACTACCGTACCTTTCAAATTTAATAAACAAATATTTGTTAATAAAAGATTCAATGGAGTTTATGAAAAATTCTTACAGAACGTGTCATATATCGGTTAAAGGGACATTTACACAATCGATGCGTATCATGTTATTGTAATCTGGATCCTGATCCTCTCGACTCAGAATGTTTTGTTTTGGACTTTACGTCCTTGCAACAGCCAGTGTTATATATGAAGACGGATGCATAGTGAGACAACGTCAAAAATAAGGAGTAATAAAGAGGGAAAGGAAAATATAACTCCCAAGTATTGCCGCGGTGGCCGAGTGGTTAAGGCGTCTAGCCCCTACCACTGGGTCGCGGGTTCGAGACCTACGCGCGGCAGTCGCAAGGTACTGTCCGCAGGTTGGTAGTTTTTCTCTGGAAACTCCGGCTTTCCTCCATCACCAAAACTTTGCACGTCCTTCAATGACCATAGCTGTTAAAAGGACGTAAAACACAAACAAAGCAAACCAGACACAAGTATTGCAATGGGGCAGCAGATCAATGATGGTTTCTTCGATGTTTACGTAGTAAAAAAACACGAAAGAAAACTCCCGATTTCTGCCAGAGACTGCACATTAGCTGACTCGTACTACAAGCAGTGGGATACTGCAGGCCAATTATCTCCCCGAACCTGCACGTGTTCTTGACTCTAATGGTAAATCACATCGGTAAAAAAAGAACTTGGGCAAAGTTATATACATGCATGTGATTGGCATGAGTTATAAGGCAGATACTGCGCCTTGGGCAACTTAGCCTAGGTTAAATATACAACCCGATACAAAAACATTTCAGACCGAGGTTCTGATTCCACTTCTTTAATATTTTCTATTTTTGTTTTAAATTTATTTTCTTGTCGTTATAATTAATAGTGTATCCTTTTCATCACGTCAGGTAAATTATTCGGTCGATAATTCTAATGATCAATCAAATTCATGTGAATTGTTATTAAAATGTTCGTGAAATAAATATGTACTTGTATACATATAAAGTGTCTCTTGTGTTTTAATCTTATATCAACGTTTGCAAAAGATGAGTTTAGGGACAAAATGTCCCTGTGTCGAGGGGCTGTTAGGTGTCAACAGCAACAAAAAAGCAATCGTTAAATTATTTGAAGAAATAGTTAATATGTTGTAGTAATGTAACACTGTGTTGTAAAACATTAATACTCTTAATGGTCAAAGAACCATTTTACAGAAAATTCATCAGTTGCCAGTGTCCTGCTATTCTAATTTCCTTGTTCAGCTTTTATCAATTATTAAATTAAAATGTTTACGTTGTTGTTTGAAAATTGAACGACAATATAACGAACGGTTAAGTTGACCAGGCCCCGGACATCCGACCCAGAAGGTTGAGCGACACTTACACGGCTAATCTGGGGACTTGAGGGAGTAGGCGATGTCTGGCAGTGTTGACACATCAACGTTTCGTTTCGGAGATAATTAACAAAACAAACACGAACTCCGTACTATATGGCACAAAACCCCCAATGTGTTGTGTTTGTCTGTGATAAGGAATGTCTGGACAATTAATCCAATGTCTGGTATAGTCCACAAGAGGACGCTGACCGTGTATTAATAGGGGAATCATGGTAGTCTGGGTACTTAAATTTGCACGAAAAAACAAAAGCGCGACTAATGACAAATATGGTAGTTAGTGGCCAAACGACATCATTCGGTACAAATAAAAATATGCCTGTTGTTATTTGCATCGGTCACTCAGTCATAGCTTGACAAAGGAACCAGTCGGTATTGAAACGTTGCTACACGTTTAATACGTACATTGTTTGTGAAGGAAGTAAAACATTGATATTATACCAAATATAGATTATTTAAATTAGATGAACATGTGTTACATTTTTAATCCCTAAATCATGCACATTTTGCATCCGCTTCTGAAAATTAAAGAACTTCAAGTTAGAGTTGAAAGGATCATTCACTTCATGTATGTGCTAGGTCTACAAACGTCGTGATGTTCCATCAGAATATATCAAATTCGCCACCTGTTATGCCTATTGCAATTCATAAGTACTCTGTGAAATATATTGAAAACATGCTTTTGATCACGAGGGAATATTAAGATGACACCGTTGATATTTCAGCTATCGACTTTTTTGTTTTTCAGGGAGATAAGTTCATTTCAATTCCCACGCAGGTCTATATTTCAATAGATAGTTTTTCGTGCTACTTCCCAGGGTGAGCAGATAACATACTAACACATTTGGCGAATAATCTTCAAACATGTGAACTATATAAAATAAATATGTCTATACATTCAGCATTTAGGGACATGACTGTCAGTATAACGTGACCGGTTTGGTTGAATGCTATGCTGGACACCTTATGGATGGTATTTCAGTGAGATAGCACTAAAAAGTCGGCATCAGATCCGCGCCACCACAAAAGGGGCAAATACACCAGCATAGCATACCCTGTCTCCTGCACACATACACACATGCACGAATACACAACGTATCTAGCTGTTGATAGGACGCTTACCTTGTACAATCGGTATCAGAATTCCAAGTTTCGGCCAGGAGAGATCGAATACTACAGTCCGATAGATTACACTAATTGAAAACTATCACACACGTTCATCGAAAGTGACTTCGCAACGTTACCCGAAATTAATACAAATAGTCCTGTCACAAGGAAGTGCAGTCTGCGCTAACAACCCCTTCCTTCCCAGTAATCGATGACGCTTTGCACTCTGGAGGGACATCGACTAACACTTATTCATTGATCCCCTAATTATCGAAAGATTAATCACGCAACATTACTAAGCTAAAAAAATATTCAAGACGAATTTTCCCCAGTGTTCTAATGAGGTTGTTCTTGAATGAATTCTTTAGTTATGTAAAGAGATACATTATCGCCAATTTACATTATTAACAGCTTACTTAGAAAAAACAGAAAAGATCATTATGATCACTAAATGGCCGAACATATTAAAA